TGTTTAGTGATTTTCACCATTTTAACCATTTTTGAATGTCATTATATTGTATTATTTTCCGGCACCATTGCTGCCAGATGCTGAATTTTGTTAACACATGTATATTTAATTGCACTGTTTGTGTTCCAAGTGAAAACAGGAACAAGAGTTGAACATTAGTTACAATCTATACTATGAAACACATCAGTTTCATGCTCTGTATTACAACTACATTAGTAAAGCGTCATTCTCGTGAGATAAAACAGGTTCAAATGTCAAATTCAATTCCAGTTCAAACAGTGTCAGACCACCAGATACGTGTGGTGCCCTCTGCAGAGTGAACTCCATTGGCCCCCCACACAGGTAAAGGTGAACCAGATGGGAGGGACGTGTGACTTTATGTGTAGCTGCGTCCATGTGAAGGGATCAGAGCTGCAGTGATGGCCCAGGTAAAGGTAGCAGGAAACGCAGTGAGGAGCCACCAGGACTGCTCAGATGTCTACTCTGACATGGCTACTGTCAGCTCCAGCGCAGGTGAGTTGGAAAAAAATGATAAACTTTCGCCATTTTCAGTCTATGTTGAAACTTCTGCTCCTTTACATACATCTTGGTAGGAACCAGTGGATAATTTATTGGTACCTAATTCATACCAATCACTTACATTGTACATTTATTATAAACTGTTAGCAAAATACTTCACATGTAGAACTGTGTTGCTCTGTTTAATCTGCACCCACAGCACCAGATAGACTTGTAATATAATGTTACCTTTCTATTGCTCGTGCATGTTCTTCGAATTTGTTACGAACTAATTGTTTAATCTACTTTAATGCAGAGCTTATCACTATCACTATTAAATAAATTGAGATGTTGCATGGTTGTCAGCTGTTCACAAATTTCTAATAAGCTGAATATCAACTTAAAATCCTGTATTTTCAGAAGTGCATACTTTCTAATCAGTATTTCAATTAAAATCGTACTTGTGCAAATGTTTCTCGTGACCAGATTTGATAATAAAATACAAATGATAATAATAAAGAGGAGAAAGCAGTTGTTGTTATGATGCACACGGTCCGAACACCAATCATCAAACCTGTGTCTTTTCCTGCAACAATGACATGAACAGACAAGGTCAGCTCAGTCCACCGTTTTGACAGATTAGTCGCTCTGTTAGTGATTGTGGTTATAATCTTGGTCAAATCCCCCAGTTTCTGGTATCTCTTTCTCACGAGCTTGTGTTTGGCAGCTAAAGCTCTCCGGCTCTCAGGTTGCCTGGTGGCAGTGGGAACCACAAAGTCGCCATAATCCTTCTTTTTTCAGACAGTCATCGGTGAATTGCGCTCTTACGCGTTAAGGCCGCTTTTTTTTTGTATCACGCTGAGGAAGTCAAGAAATAGGAGCTGGAGAATTGTTTCCTAAAACGTGAAGGTCTTTTCAGCATCCACGCAAACCTTTTTTTTTTTTTTATTTGCTCCTGACAACAGATATAGGAGAGTCGGTGAGGAAGGGGGCCTTGTGTGAGACCTCCACGGCTGTAGGCCTCAGCAGGCGGAGCAGGGCCTACCCCTCTCCAGCCCGGAGACGCCACCGCACCACCTTCAGCCACAAGCAGCTGGAACAGCTGGAAGTGGCTTTTGGACAAAACCAGTACCCTGACATCTACTACAGAGAGGAGCTGGCTCGCATCACCAAACTGAACGAGGCTCGCATTCAGGTGGGACAAACTTCAAGGATCTCACTGACAACCTCACGTTTTTTGCAGCTGTGATGAGCAACTTTGAAGTTATCAAGGTTGCTTTATGGGTAATTCAACTTATATTTGTCATATGCATTTTTCATAGCAGGGAAAGCACAGTGAGGAAGCAAAAACAACACCAGGACCTTAAACCTGAAGCAGCTAAATGGAATTCAGCATCATTAATATGTATTTTTATTTATAATTAATTGTTTAAAAAAACTGATGATGGCATATAGAAACGGATACCTACAATATTTTAACATCATTGTAATCTAAATGCTTTGGGAGTTTTGGTTTACTGGACAAAACAAGTAATTTGAATTAAAGTGTAAAATATTACATGAATAATACATTAAACGTTCTTATAGTGCGGTCCAAACACAAACTACAGGAGAGAGGAAACACAAAGGTAACATGCACTGGTGGAACATCAACAAAAGAGAAGAGAGGTTCTCAGTGCATCATGGGTAATCCCACAGCAGTCTAGGCCTATAGCAGCACAAGTAAAAGATGGTTCAGGGTCACTAAAGCCTGTTCTAACTATGCATTTTATCAAAAAGGAAAGTTTTAAGCCTCTTAAAAGCAGAGAGGAGCCTGAGAACTGAAGGCTCTCCCTCATGTTCTACTTTTGAATCTCTAGGACTCACAAATAACTGAGCACCAGGAGACAAAGCGTTGGGATAAAATTATACAATAAGGTTTAAGGTATGATGGAACTTGGTCATTAAGGGTCAATATATTCAATAGTTTTCTGATACTTTCATTGCAGTAAAAGAACACATACCTGTATCAGATAGAAACTGAATTTAACAATGCTATAAAGTGCCACAAATAAATAAAATAAGAACAATGACTGTTCGCAGGTGATGTTGAGGTGCTTCTAAATATAAAGCATCTGTCATGGCTCCATCTGCTGTAGTTCAGCAGTAAAACAAGACGATACTTAAACGTCCTACTTTTCCTGAACCCGCTTCACTGACTCCTGTTCTACTGCCAGGTGTTCCTTCTTGTAAAACTTGCAACTAATCTGTCCTGTTCTTCACCCTGTTCCTGTCTCTGCAGGTGTGGTTTCAGAACAGAAGAGCCAAACAGCGTAAGCAGGAGCGGGCCTCGCACAAAGTCCTCCCGGTGGGTGTGATGTCGGGCCACAGGGGGCTGCTGGGGGGGATGCACGTCCAGCCGTCCGCCATGGCTCGACAGTACTACCCCCAGCCCCTGGCGCACATCCCCCGCCTCTCCCCCATGCTGCCGCCCTCTGGGGCGTACTCCCGCCACCCGGGCCCCGTCAGCCAGTGCCCCTGTCCCAGCAGCGGCTCCCAGCCGAGCTCCCAGCGGCAGCACGACGACTGGTACGGCCCTCTGAGGAGCAACCTCACCCCTCCCATGTTCTCACTGGCCTCCATGCCGCCTCTGGACCCGGCCTCCCACTGGAGCTAAGAGGGAGAACACCTGGGATGCTGCAAAAAAAGAGAAATAGATACTGCAGAAAAAAATCTATTACAGCTACATTGTGATACACACAGACAGTTTCATCTGTCTCACTGTTGTATTCTTTTAACTAGACTGCAGATAACATTTGCAACTTCCTAGTCACAGGCATGTTTCTCTCATCACTAGAGTTCTGCTGAAACAGTTGGAGTGTTTGTCAGATATCTTTGTTGCCTTGCATTAAAATTTCTTTAATTTGGCCTTTTTGGTTAATTTTTTTAACTTGGAAAGCAGTTTGTAAAGATTTAAGTCAAGGCGTGCTACATTTTTTTCCGCACCTCGTGGCCGTTATAGTTCCATACTACACTTACAGGTTACGTGATGCAAACTGCAACATTTCTATAACAATTAGAAGAATGCCTCTGACAGTGTAGGAAGTGACTACATGCACACACAGTTGTGCTTCCATTAAATCAGATGACATTACACTGGGGGCTGGAGGTTAGCACTGTTGCCTCGCAGCAAGAAGGTTGCCGGTTCGCGTCCCAGTGGGGGCACCGGAATCTTTCTGCGTGGAGGCTCCATGTTCTCCCCGTGCAGCATGGGTTCTCTCCGGGTTCTCCGGCTTCCTCCCACACAGTCCAAAGACATGTTGAGGTTAATTGGTGATTCTAAATTGTCCATAGGTGTGAATGTGAGTGTGCTTGGTTGTCTGTCTCTAAGTGTAGCCCTGTGATAGACTGGTTACCTGTCCAGGTGAACCTGCCTTCACCCTGAGTCAGCTGGGATAGACTCCAGCCCCCCATGACCCTAGTGAGGATTAAGCGGTGTATAGATAATGGATGGATGGATGTTTTGTACATTATGGGGACTTGCCTGATGTCCCTAAAAGAGAATTTTCTTCACAATATCACAGTTTTAGTGGATGTCCTCACAGAATGAGTGATACATAAGTCAGGACTGAAACATAAACCATTTTTACTGTATTTCTGCCAAAATACAATGTGGAGTCTGCTGCTCAGCATTTTTTTTATCTGTGATACACAATCAAGCTCTGACGTATAAAAACCTTTAGATTTCATGAAAAAACATCTGCATATGACAAGTGTTAAATGTGATTTTATACATTTGATCTGACCGGACCAAACACTCTAATTCCCCTCACAAACAGCCAACAACACCACATGACAACATATTCAGTTTACAGGTTTTTAATATTTCACATTCCAGAGACAACACAGTTGCATCTGTTATGCTTTTTAAATATCTGCATTGAACAACCTGAATTGATTGAAATATCAACACTGGATGGCAAAAATATAGAATTCATTGCTATGAAAAAGAAAATCATACTTATGAAGAAATCACAGATGGATTCAACACATTTGACGTGACATATTTTTTTCTATGTCTGTTTTAAAGGCAGCTAATGTCTGAAGCAAACATGTGTTGTGTTCAAGTGCTTTACTGGAAACGGCAGCAGCATCAGCCAGTGTGCTTTTAGTCTAGCTTATCCAGTGACGAAGATTCAGCAACGCACAGTACGGTGCTGCTTTACATTCACTCTGTGATGACAGATTTAAGTCAAGTATCTGCTGGCTGAGCGACTAGTGAGGAGAACAATGATTGGCTCATTTTGTAGTTGTAATAATGAAAGAAACAGCGAAAACCACCTCAGAGAGAAACGTGAGGCGCCGCACTGTCTGACACGCTGCTGGCAACATTCAGCACCGTGCTGTCCTGCCTGCGACCTCACACTGGTTTACCGATTTATACACGCACTGTACATCTAATCGAGTCAAGGCCACTTTCTGTCATCATGGGAACAACCTGCTTGTGTCACCATCGATAACAAACAGCAAATGAAATGGATTCACAGAAGGAATCATTTGGTCCACTATGCTGAGTATCAAATGAGTGTGCGCTAGTTAATATACACGAGTCTTTAAAACGGATCTGGCCCATTTAAAGTGATGACATTCAGTTTGGATGCTGCTGGGCTACCAAAGTGAATTAAACGTAGCACCACTAGAAGATCGCACATTAACAGAACTCTTGTACATACAAAGGATCAGTTCACCCAAAATGTTTTATAGGTTTGAAATCGGACACTGCTGTGAATGAAATTTAGTGCTTGATAGTGAAAACATGAAACATTACATTTTAAAAAAACTCAACAACAGCATTTCTTTTTACAATCAGGTGTCCAGGTTGCTTTGATGTTTCAATATGGGTACTGGCTGTTGTTACTTTGGTAGAAAACAGTTCACAAGGATTGTGCGTCATTATATTCTGCATCTGAAAAGCTCCCCACACACACAACTGAAAGGATGCTAACATGGCTACATACTGCTAAAGGTAAGGTAGAAAACATTTTTGGGAAGTGGGTGAACTGACCCTTTAATGATGAGTTCAGCAGAGGGTGTAGAAATGTTCCTCTCATCTGTAAGCATACACCAGAGTCAAACTAAAACAGGGGGCATCTTTTGTTCCATCTTTTTTTGTTGTTTATTAAATAACTAGAATAACCGTTTTAAGCGAACTTGAAAAAACTAGCTTCATGAATTACCAATAACCCTGATTGATCGCCTGTGAGAAACAAAGCGAAGATTAAATGATGGTCTTCCAAAAGTTGGTGCAGCTTCTCAGTTTGGCTCCACGTACGCTCACCGGTGGTCCTTCCCCTCTCTGCTCATTCCTCACTGTTGTCGTGAACATGAAGACACAGAAAGATGCTCTACTCCAGGGATTTGGCAAACTCTGCATAATCTATGTAGCCGTCATTGTTCTTGTCATCGTCCCTCAGAACATCATCAATGAGAGCAATGAGGTCGTCCTCCTTTATTGGCTGACTTTCTCCTCTCTCCTAGAAAGAATAGCACAACGAAATGCTGGACAACAGAATTCAGGCACACGGATTAAGTGGCAACATGTGTGGTGATAACAGAAAAGCGACAATAATTTTATAACTACTTAAAAATGTGTTTTAGTTTTGAAAAGCAGTTAGAAAAATCTAAAATATTTGTTAGGTTAAGCTTCTTAAAAGTGATGCTTTTTTGGTTTTCTGGGTCCATTTTATTTTTATTTCATATAGTTGGGTTTATTTGTTGGTTCTCAACCGGTCTATCCATCCATCCATTATCTATACACCGCTTAATCCTCACAAGAGTCGCGGGGGGCTGGAGTCTATCCCAGCTGACTTAGAGTGAAGGCAGGAGACACCCTGGACAGGTCACCAGTCTATCACAGGGCTACACTTAGAGACAGACAACCAAGCACACTCACATTCACACCTATGGACAATTTAGAATCACCAATTAACCTCAACATGTTTTTGGACCTTGTGGGAGGAAGCCGGAGAACCCAGAGAGAACCCACGCTGCACGGGGAGAACATGCAAACTCCACGCAGAAAGATCCCGGGTGTGCTCACGTGAACCGGCGACCTTCTTGCTGCGAGGTAACAGAGCTAACCACTGCCTGTCTGTCCTGATTTTGATGTTTTAGACATAAAATGCCATTGTTTTTTGTGGGGGAAAAAAAAGTGTCATAGTTAGCAAATTAATTCTTATTTCGTGAGGTCACATCCAATAAAATCTAGTGAGTTCATTCCCAAATTAATTTTTGTGCAAAATTTGATTGAAATGAAAAACACTTCAACTTTGTGAACTGCAGTTCTCCATGAAATGCAAAGTAAAATACATTTTGAGCTGAAGGTACAGTTCACATGATGATAGTGGCAGCATTTGGATAAAAGAATCACAATAAAGCGACCAAAGAAGCGAGATGTTATTGGTATTACTGGTATTTATGTCATGCGGAATTGTGCTCTCACTGCAACCGGTCGAGCCAGACGGCCAGCCTCCCTGAGCTGCTTCTACTAGTGGTTTCTTTCTGGTAAAAGGGACTCCTTCCTCTCCAGTTCCGCCAATATGCTGCTCATAGTGAATCTTTGGATGTCTTCCATTGTGCATGTATAATTTTGTAATGCCTTAACATTCAAATTACTCTGGTACATCTACACAATAAATAACTGTTGGGTCTTAATCTTAATATTTACACTTGTTTGGGAATTTGTCAACACCAATTTTATTTCTCTACTGGGGAAGCACTTTGTCTAAATGATTTTGTTTTTATTATGCTTGATAAATACGCTAATTAAATAGCAGCGACATAATTCATTGCATGTGCATAGTTACCTCTTTGTGTACATGTGTGATCGCTGTGGCGAGCTCCAGCCCATCTAGCAGGTTGTTTCCATCATAATCGTGCATCTTGAAATAGTGCAGCTGAAGCTCCTGGGGTGTCATGTCTTTCTCTGGTTTGTCTATCACTCCCTCCAAATGCTCCATGATGTGGCTGACAGCAAAGAAGTACAAACACACACACACACACACACACAGCTTTTGATTACACAGAATGGGACCATTGCTACTGACAGTGTTCAAAGTTCAGTCCTGACTCATGTATCAACATGGCAGAGCGCCCGCTTCGAATTAGGAGATATCACTCACTCTTTGTCCTGGACCATGTTTTTGTCTAGGCGACCGTGATGGGAGACGTGAGCTGCACTTTCTATGATTGGAGGCGGCTGCTGCTGCTCCTGGGGGTGGTGGTGTGGATCCACCTGAGAGTGAACGCACAGCAGAGAGCAGGACAGAAGGAGGAGCAGACGCCCCCACTGCACACTACACCTGCCACTCGTCATTCTGCTGGGAAGAGAGACAGACGGGATGAACAGCTAGAGACACAGAGACAGCAAGTTAATCCCTGCTAGTGTGCTGGATTCTGTAAATCTATGGTCGATATCATCTGTTGCATTCTCTGCTACTGCATTCTATAATTCAGTTTTCCATCACACTTTCCATTCATACATCCCTGTGATAAAACTTTTTCACATTGGTATGATCTTCTGAAAATTTTCCACATAACCGTCTAATTGGAGCAACAACTGTTTAAGAGTTGGCTGCATCAGACAGTAACGACATAATGCTACTAAAGAAGATAAATCTGTGGTCACAACTTGATACCATATGTTTATGTAATAGTTAGAGGTTCATTTTCATGGAACAACAATAGACAAACATTATATACACTACACGTGCATGGACATCGTTGTTCTTTTCTGTATCCTCAGATGTGACATTATTATGCTAGCTTGGTTAAATACCCCAAATGGACGCAAAGATTTATTACCGTTAGCTTAAAGCTAAAATAAGATTTGCTAGCACGAAGCTTCCTTTCAGGACGACACTAAAATGCCATTGTCCATATATTACGCAAACTTCTCCAATATTTACTATGATATAATTAGTACAAATACTGGTGTAATACATACTTTCAAACGACTTGTATCTTCGCCTGCGTCCGTGAGCAGTTGTGTTGTTTTAGTAGTTGGCTGGCAACAATCATCAGTCAGAGCTTTTACGGGCCTCGTGGGTTGCCGTAGACCCGCTTGGACACGACAGCTCATTGTGATTGGTTGGAATTATCAAAGAGTATGTACAGGAAGCGAGAGAGTACCCTCCAGTAGTTACCGAAATTTCGCTTGAGAGACGATAGTTTCAGACTTTTTAGCGGCTTTAGACAAAACTTAATTTTATTGTACTCTGTAATTATCTCTGCATATTGTTAAAGGATACATAAAAAATAATGATGCAAGAAAACCCACCAAGAAACGGCTAAGTGGCTAAATAATTCACGTTATTTGTTTTGTACGTCATTAAGCCGTAAAATAACTCCAGTAAATTAGATATCACTTACACAAGCTAGTTCTTAGTTTAGCCGACAAAATATTCATAATTACATTTCATTAATACGCGGGTTTTCAATAAAGCACAATCATTTTTCGTCGTGAACTATCTTTACAGGGAAACTAAGTTCGTGGTGACTCTTTGATTGGATCAGCTGGGGGGAGCGGAGCCGCCGCTCAGCTGTCAGACACAAACTGTACAGAGACACGCTGTGTAGTGGACGTTTCACAGAAGAGGGTGAAGAGTCGCTCATGACAAGCAAATGTCAACTTTCCAGAGGGAGAATGACGCTCCTAAATCCCTGTTCAAGATGCTTGAGGTTTTTTTTTTTTTTAATGTCATAAAGTAGCTGATGTAGACTGTCAGTAGTCAGTGACCCTTGTTCCTCTTGTATCTCCACCCTGTGCTGTGTTGTAAAGGCTAAATGTTCATTCTGCTGGTGGATTCCTGTGATTCCTCTCCTTTGCCCCTGCAGTTTCCCCCAATGAAAAATGTCATTTCACTGTTTATTGTGCATCCATTGATTTGCACAACCCTGTGCTTGATAAAGTCCAGTTACATGTCACAGTGACTGTCACAGGCTGACAGATGTATTATTTTGTAACTGAGCCAGGAGGTTAGCCAGCGTTGGCCTGCCAATGTGCTGAACCCAGATCAGGGAGCAAGCCAAGCAATTACAAATAGTGTTTTTTTTTTTTTTTCCTCAATGAACTCATTTATGAATTAAAAGAAGAAAACGGCACCATGTATACACCCTGTATGTTTACATGTATCCTGTCTCTATTAGGTTGCACACTGTGCTTCAGTAGGACCACAGCTTCCTCCAAACTGCTGTTTGTTAAGCCCTACCTGATCCAGTTAAAGTGTTAACAGAAAAAGATTAGGGACATGGGTCTTAAGAGGGAAGACTACCCTTCCTTCAAACTGCGACAGATCAAGCCCTCTCAGAACGCCACACTCATTTAAAGAGGGGGAAAAAAACTTCTGACAGAAATGCATAAAATTATAAATGTAGGGATAAAAGCACGCATGGCAATGAATCAGAGTCAGAATCAGCTTTATTGGTCAAGTACGTGTCCACAAACAAGGAAGTTGACTCAGTTTTTGCCCTTGGTCTCAGACTAAAAACACACATGCATGTAAACAACAGGTTAAAGAAGAAAAAAAAAAGAGCCCGTGTAGAGCTGTATGTGGAAGAGAGCATGTTGAAAGTGAACCAAAGTTAAGTGCAACTGTGCAGATTCTAATGTCAGCAATAAATACAGTTATTAGTGACACTATATATAATATATAACATACATGAGGTCAGTGGATGATAGTGGAGCAGAGCTGATGGAAAGGAACAGGGATTTATTTTATATAATGTGATCAGAGTGTCAAAAAGAGTTATTCCTGCCAATGCTTACTGATTTAATAGTTAATTAGTTTGATGGTCTGTGTGGGAAAAAAAAAAGTTTTGTGATTTGCTGCAATATTCATGATCACTGATGCATTGTCTTTAAATGTGTTCTCACTGCAGATCCACAGTCATACATGTAAATATCTCCCTATACTGTCACAATAATGCAACACACTCACTGACAATTAAAAGTCCTGTTGTGCTGCTGATGACTTTATGCGCCTGTAATAACCTCCACCCCACTGCCCAGCCCTCCTCCACCTCCTCCTCCTCCTCCACCGCACTCAAAGATCACACATTTATTTCTCCTGCTAGTCCGCAGTTACTCCCATCGTGTCCGGGGAGTACAGTCACCACCGGGACAGAGCGGCCATGGCATCCCGGGTCTCCTTCACCCAGGTCCGGCTGGAAGCGGACCTGGAGCGCTGCCGGGCCGAGTGTCAGTGGGACAAGATGCCGGCGATCGTCGAGCAGATGACGGCTGCGCGCTTCCACGAGGACGGTGAGTGACAGCTGGGCTTAGGTGCACATGGAGGCTGAGGTGTGTCTGGCTGTTTTCACAATACTCACTGAGATAGAAAGTAAAAGAAAATTACATTAAAAGAGAGAAAAGATCAGATTAAACCCTGTGGGATTCTGCCAAAGGTTGTTTAAATTCCACATGTTTTACTGGGAGCTTCAGGAAGTTGTTGCCAGAGTCAGTAGTTTTCATAAAAATCCTTGATGTTGTAAATGTTTTGACATTTGCACTGGAGTCACCAAATATTAACAATCACAGCATTTATTTTTTGGACTAATTTGGAAGAACACTGTGCGAGAATCCTGAAGTGTTAGTCCTGGTATTTGTTGTAGTGCTGGGATCACACTGCCCACAAGTTGGACCTTGGACTCAACAAGATAGAGAGGCTCACTGTTGTTGAATGTTTCCTCTACAGATCTATCCATAAATAGTATTAACTGTCTTATATGTGTCCCAGTGGGTCAGATCAGGGGTCACAGAGGGGTTGCAGATGGTAGTAAAATGTCAGGTGGGAAGTTTACAGTACACACATTGAATGAGTGTGTGTGTGTGTGATCAAAGCTATTGCACGACCTTCCACATGCAGGACAACACCTGCTATGGCTCATGCAAAACAAAAAAATGTTCCAATAGACCATTACCTGCCTGCGTTTATACCCTTGACATCATTCTACATTGTACACGTCCTCAAAGAAATGCAAACACACTTATCATTGTGTGCCTCATAAAGCATTGCTCCGGTAAGTCACTAATGCACCTGCCTCCACCCCTCAAGTCAGCAGAGTAAATACGGGTTCAGGTGACCCGGCTGCTATATTCTGCTGTTATTGTGCTCACGACCGGCTGATGTTGCAGAGCTGCCTGCACACGCGCTCAGGTGTTAAATTAATGTGGTGTTACTGCGTGCATGCGTGGTTCACATTAGATCTGACGGCGAGTGTACGCGGTGCATCAGGAGGGTTGGCTTTAGATTACAGATAGAGGAACTTCACAGCAGCTAAAGCAATAAGCAGTTAAACTTCCACCCAATAGTAAATCAGTAAAAAAAAAAAAAAAAGCTGCAGTAGGTGGTGTACTCTGCATTCTTATTTCCTTTTAGTTTCAACTGTTTGTCTTTGGATCATTTACAGTTCTGTGACGTTGTGATGGAGTCTGGTGTGATGTCAAAAGAGCAAAAATGGCTAAAGCACACCACTAGTCCTTAATTCCACTGTCCTCAAGTGATCTCATATTTTCTACTACAATTTGGGAGTTTTAGTCACCCAGGGGACTTATATTCTTCTATAAAAATAACTCTTATTTCCAGAATTATATTTAAAGGTACCCTGTGGAGCTTTCTTGCAAACCAAAAAATGTATGTTCCCATCCAGCTTTTCTGACCAGAATTCATCATGTGTGTCCTTAAAGTCTAAGAACCACATTGCAGCTTCTACATTACATTAATGCGATGCCTACTTTATAAAATGTGTTGTTCACTTCCATGTTTACTAGTATTCGTCTTCCCTGCCTTTGGTGGCTCAATGCTCAACAGAGCTGCAACAATTCATCAAAATAGTTGATTAATTGCCAACAATTAAAAGTAATTGCCAACTGTTTTGATAGTTGATTAACTGGTCTGAGTAACTTTAAAAAAAAAAAAAAAAAAAAGTCAATATGTAATCATTTTTGGTTTCTTTCCTCCTTAATGACAGTAAACCGAACACCTTTGGGTTGTGGAAAAAACAAGGCATTTGATTACACCATCTTGGACTTTGGGAAACACTTACAGACTTTTTTCTGACTTTACAACAACAACAACAAATAAATTAACAGATTAATATATGAAGACAATAACTGTTAGATGTAGCCCTACTGCACACAGATAGCTTTTAAATGGGACTTTTTTTTTTTTTTTTTTTAAGGCTCACAAAAGAAAAAACAAGAATGAAATACTTAGCAGTATTAAAATTTCAGAACTGTATTTTTAACCTCCATTTTAATACAATTAAAATTTTCAAAAAAAATTACAGAAGAATTAATGTAAGATTTAACAACAAGAAGAAAATGGTCACAAGAAAAAAAGTTAAAAGGTGATATAAATAATAAAATAGCAAGAAAAAAAATAAAATAAAAATAAAAACTCTATTAAAAGTGCAACAGAGCATTTGAAACATCCAAACAGGTAAAACACTCTGGATCTTGCAGTGTTGCTGCTGGATGGTTTCAGTGGCAGGACATTTAAACAGCAGTAACATTTTCTGGCCACATGAGGGCAGCAGAACCAAGCTGCCACTGCAACCCTTAGCTACATCAACTTTATAGTCGATGTAGCTAACATGTTAGCTAACACTGGTTTACACCACCAGTGCTTATAAAGAATGTATTTTTAATGCTCATTTTGGAGTCGTATTTCTATCCACCTGAGTGTAAATCTTATATATGAGATGTCCGTTTAGTTTTTTTTTTAATCTCCACTGACTTCTGAGCCAAATTTTTGGCTACTTAGCTGCTACACGCGCCACTGTTTTTACTAGCTAGCTAGCTAGTAGGTAACTGTAGCTTCCTGTTGTCAGGGGCTGCTCGCCTCAGTTTAGCCTCATATATTAGCATAAGGACGAGGCTAAAATACTTACCATTGTTCGCATATTGTTAAGATGTTTAGCCTTAAAATGAATAAAAAATAAATAAATTCTATCCACTGAATAATCGAAGCAAGATTTTAAATCATTTCCCAAGTTGTATGTCCCGCCAAAAACCTCAACTGATAACAGAGAGAAAAAAAGAAAGTGTTCTTTATGCAGTAAATAAAATATTTCCAGGCAGTCATAAGAGTCTTCAAGATTTTGAAAGTACCGTCAGAACAACCCAAAGTGTTTTAAATTACTTTATGAAGGGGAACATTGCCATTAATTAGCTTTAAGAAAAGTGGTTCGTGCTAGCTCTGTGAGGACAGTCGTGCTAATACACGAAGGCTAACTATGGCTAGGTGATGGCCACAGTAGTGTTCAGTGGGTTTATAGAACTTTTTCTGTAATAACAGTTGCAGAGGTCGACTGTATCTAAACAAAACTAAAAGATCTTGGCTGGACAAGCAATGAGCTGCAACATGTTGAAATTCTCATATAAACGCTTAATTTCTTTAGGTTCAATGTAATTACTGACCCCTATCACAGTCATCCATTGTTAACCTCCTGAACTCAAAGCATTTTCTACCACAATATAAAGTCCTTCGCCTTTATGCAAACAGCACAACCATGGCTAGAAGTAGAGAGAACTCAGAAATGTCTTCTGTGCAGTATGACGTAGCTATGATGCCATTAATCATCCATCCATCCATCCATCCATCCATCCATCCATCCATCCATCCATCCATCCATCATGTCTACACCCCTTAATCCTCACTAGGGTCGCTGGAGTCTATCCCAGCTGACTCAGACAACCAAGCACACTCACATTCACACCTACGGACAATTTAGAATCACCAGTTAACCTCAACATGTTTTTGGGAGGAAGCTGGAGAACCCGTAGAGAACCCACGCTGCATGGGGAGAACATGCAAACTCCTCGCAGAAAGATCCCGGATGTCCTCACCGGGATGAGAACTGGTGCTAACTACTGCTCCAACTTGAGGCCCTGCCATTAATTATTACAGTAAAATTGATTTTATTATTGATTTGAAAAAAAGGGAAAAAAACTGAATCAAGATGTACAACGTTTTTCATTGTGCCCACGGGTGTCACCAATATTGGAAAAACGGTAGCAAGAGGCTAAAATACAGCCATTCCTCATACTAGTAATGTTCAAGTGAGATCTTTAGAATAAAAGTTTTTTTCTGATGGAGCTGTATACATTTATTTACCCTCAGAAAAGTTAAAAGCAGGTGGTTCTGTCTGTTTATACAGTTTCTTGCTCTGATAAATCGTGTAATTTTTGTTGATTTAAAATAAAACCCACCAGTGAGTTTTTGGGGGTTCCGATAATTAATATAAAAATACTGTTTATTGCTGATTGGTCTTCTTCGCCTCGACACACATAACATTCATCACTCTCGTCTTATTCAGGCGGGGCTTTAAATGTCTTTTGAAAACAGAGGAAATTGCAAACCGAAGAGGAGGTTGATAACAGGAGATGTAATTACATTCATAACATTACAACAGTTAATGACATGATGACTTCTGGATTCCGGAGAGAATCGTAGCTGGTGAGAGGATATAAATGTTCAGAGACAACCTCGTGTAAGGGAGCCTGAGTGAGTTTTCTTTTATTACTTGATCAATCCTCTCGCGCTGTACCTAGAAAACCTTTATCTCAACAGTGTAACCTCTCAGTTTCTTTATTGCAACATTGACTCTTTCCAAAGTCTGGGCTCCAAATCGTTAAATAGCTCTTACTGTGGTCATAGGCTGAGACACGAGCTGCTGTTTATCCCCCACCTTCCCCAGAGTGATGGGTTTAGCCTTGGCTCTGCTGATAAAACGAACTCGCAAATATGTCAAGTATATCAGGGCATAAACACTTCTTGCAGAGTTGGCCCCTGAACACTCACACACACAGAATGAAAAAACTAAACAGGAAAGCTTTAATCGAGTTCGTGTATACACTGAAACTGAGACTGCCTACTGGACACTGGCTGAATGTAAGGCTCAGTCAGACCAGGTTTCTCTCCCACATCTGTAATATCTCCATTCAGAGTAGGTGGATGGGAGTGTTTATCATATGATTACAATGTTGAAGCTATTTAAGGAAAGTATGAGGGAAATGGAAACTGCAGTTTCTAAATAGACCTCAGGTCTGAGACATATTTGAACTGCTCTCCCTGTGCTGGTGGTGCTGTTTTTAATGGACTGAGAAAGGTTTGCTTTGGCTACAGAAACAAATGACCTGTGACCTTGAGCTCAGACCTACTCCAAAAAACTCCCTTTGACTTTTTCAATCCCAACCCCTCAGATGATTACGGGACGCTGTTGATGGCCGAGGCGCTGCTGGAGGAGTGCCTGCAGGAAAACATGGATCTGTTATGGAGCTCCACACCATTGATGGACAAGACCCAGCCCAAACTGAGCAGGGCTAAAGGCCTCCTCAACACCATCCTGAGCCGAGGCCGTCTCACAGTCAGTCTAATCTGGGTTCCTATAGCTTCCTTTCTGTCTCTTTAAAGCCTGTTTGACCAAATAGACAAAGTACTGAAATCATTAAGCCTCAAAACATTGAAATCTTTTCTACAATTCCATTTCCAGCCATTCATTTCTGTTTATTTCAGCCCAGGTACTTGAACGAGGCTCTGCTGCTGATGGCCAAAGTGCACTACGTGCAGGGTCGCTACCGGGATGCCCAGGGAATGTGTGCAAGGGTGGGACTGGAGGAGTTGACGCAGGACGACCAGCCGGTCTACCACCTCCGCCTGCTGGCCGAGGCGTTCGTGATTAAAGGTAGCCGTCATCATTTTATTGTTCCAGTTGGGACCATCAACATGGCACACATTGTAATATTTCTTGGGAGCATAGCATCACCAAAAACCCAAAGGGACAAAAATGTACAAGGATTTAACAAACTTCCAACAAAGTTATATGAAAGAAAAAATGAAGGTGAACGGTCAAAATATGATCTTAATCCTGAAGGTCTTACCTGTTGCACGGACTGTAGTTCAGCATGTGCAGACTTCTTGTGCAATGAGGGATTACAACAGATATTTTCGGTGTACTCGCCCTCAGTTTTACCTCAGAAAGTGGTTCAGATAATCTTTCTACTCCACTAGTTTGTTTATATCTCGTCTGATCGTCTGCCAGCTCCTTTCTTGCCCCACTGGACTCAGCAGATCTCAGCAGTTACTTTGGTGAGAACAGCGTTAGCAAAGAGACTCACACATCCAGTGTTTTTGCAGGTACACCAAAGAGAGGGTCAGTATTCTGCAGAATAAAAAAATCCTGCACACTGTGTTGAATGTATTAAATGCACAGGTATCTTTTTTTTTTACACTGTACTGTACATTCATGTCATTCATGTTGTGAGACTAAAATAATGTCCCGACAACACACACACTCAGATGGGGAAGGGGGGCAATGATAGACCTGGCAGGAAGCATGGGGGTTCATGGCAAAACAGTAAATAATTTGGACAGCACAGATGCAAATATACAGTCATATGAAGAAGTGGAAACGCGTTGGCTTCTATTTGGACAAGCAAATGTTTGATCCTTTTTGAAACATTGGTTACAGAATAAGGTAGTCTCAGAAGTCCATATTGGCTCCTTTAGCAGAAATAACTTCTTGTGGGTGTTTTACATAATTATCAACCAGTCTCTGATGTCCCCTGGCTGAAAAATTTGACCACACTTCCTGTAAGGTTTCTTCAGTTTCTAGATGCCGGTTTCAAATCATATCACCACAACATTTCAACGCCATTCAAATCTGGGCTTTATTTTCTTGACGAGGTCATTCCATAACCCTCAGTTTCTTAGTTTTGAGCCATTCCATAGATCTGATAGTGTGCTACGGATCATTTTCCTGTTGGAACGTCCACTTCCTGTTGACCCTCAACTATTGGACTGATGGCCTCACGCTATCTTCAAGCACTTTATGATATGATGCAGAATTAATAGTTTGAATGAATGACTGAAAGCTGCCCAGCCCTTGAGGCAGCGTAGCAAGTTCAAAACATTTTCATCACCATGCTTCATAGTTGGTCTGAGGTTTCACTCCTGAGACGTGGCCTTTGTTCTGCACCGAACATCTCTACTGTTACTGTGACAAAACAACTATATTGTTGATTCATCTGTCTGGAGCACATTGTTCCTAAAGGCCTTCTCTTTGCCTTTATGCTCCTCACAGGTAAACATTCATTTTTCTTCAGTGTTCTTTTTGAACAGCAAAAGCTAATCATGCATGTCAAATTTGTGCAGTCTCTTTCTAATTGTAGATGCAGCCCTTTAGCACCAACAGCTGCAGAGCTACCTGCAGACGCTGTGATTAAACTTTGCTATTCTTGGGACAATTTTTTTGCAGCTGCTTCTGGGTTGAATTTGCTGGGGTGGCCAGTCCTGGACAAAGTGACAGCTATCTGAAGTGTTGTAGAGGATTTCTGTTGCAGTGAAATAGGGCGGCTGTGGCTCAGGTGGTAGAGCGGGTTGCCCTCCAATCGCAAGGTTGCCGGTTTGATCCCCCGCCCCTCCACAGTCGAAGTGTCCTTGGGCTAGACACTGAACCCAAAGTTGCTCCCAATGGCAGGCAGCACCTTGCATGACAGCTCTGTTGCCATTGGTGTGTGAATGGGTGAACACACTGCAAAGTGCTTTGGATAAAAGCTCTATATAAGTGCAGACTATAACCGTTAAATAATTTGGAGATCGTTTGACTTCCTTGTCAGAATCATAGGCATCCACATCCTTTTTTCTGAAGGTTTTAGAGTGCTCTTGAGAGCTTGGCATGATGATGCCATTCATTTTAATTGCAAAGAGAGCAGCAGACACTTGATGTGAGAAGGTTTTGGTTCAGTCTTTGAGGAAGGTCCAATGATTGGCACCTGATGTTGAACCCCTGATTCTAATTTGATAGATTTAAAGGTGTGATAAATGTGACTGAGCTGTTTTTTTTAAAATTAATCTCTGTTATGAAATGACTATAAAATGTCAGTTTTATGTGTCATTTGTTTCAGTTTATCACCCTTATCTGAAGGCAATGTTTCAAACAGGATCAAACGATTGCTCTTTCAGATTGTGATAAAGGCCGATCATTTTTAACATGACTGCGTGCTGGTGATGTAACTGACAAGCTGATTGGTTTCATACTGTTCCAGTGTGAACATCTGAGTGTGGGCAAAAGGCAATGAAGAAGAACTGATTGCAAGCAGGTTGTGGGGTTTGTTCCGATAGCAACACTCGCATTCTTGGCCACACTTCACACTTAAAGCAGTACATCTAACCTTCACATGGAGGCATTTATGTTATTACATTCCAAAGCTGTACTCAGAGTTAAGTTTATTCCTCAGTTTGTGATGTTGTCAGTGAGTCATGGTGCAGGTTTTAGGACCACCACTAATCAACAGAGATGAAAAAATTTAAATGTATGACATGTTGGATTCAGCATGAATATTATTATTCATGTCCAAAAACTTTCACATATACCAAACTCTTCTTCTTAATGAGACTGATGAGATAAATGCTGTATATCTGGCTGTCAACGGAAATATGTAGAAATTCTCAGAAGTTCATTAGCTTGTTAAGACTCATGATGAAGGTCAAGAACTGTCAGTAGGAAGTGACTTATGATGATAAATAAGCTTTTTTTTTTTTTTTTTTTAAGTCTGTTTCCTGCAAGAGTTTATTTATATCTTTTCACTTCAAAAATATACTGTGCTCAGGGGTGGTCAGATGTTTGCATACAAGTGTTTATTCTTTATACTTTAAGGAACCAGTTTTCATACTTTAAAATATATATCAGACAGAAACCAGTGAAAATAATATCACATGATGTATGTTCTATGTTCAGTAGATCTACATGCTTCTTTAATAATTGTAAGTGCACCTCTCAGCTCGTGATTGTTTCCTGTGAAACTGTATGCTTGGGCCCACTTCTCTGTCCAGAAAAATCATCTGAGCTTGGTTCTATCTTTGTGTGAGTGATGGGATGTCTTTATGAACCAAGCTTCTCCTGGTGAACGATAATAATCCCCAAAATAGTTGCAAGAAATACATCACACGAGTTAGAACTTGACTATTTGTTAATCCTGCAAGTATGAGTGTTGGAACAGACCTGTTGTTTTAAAGACTATTTGCTCGCTAGCACCAAAAAGAGGACAGAAATGTATTCAGTATGACCTCAAAGGTGCATATAATGCATTATGGTGGGAAACACTGACGTATCAGAGTGTTACACATGAGACAAATACTGACTAACAATACAATCATGTGTCAACAGCACATGTGAAGACTCTGAGTATAAAGACTACTCATTAAATGTGAGGCTCCAACTTTTACGCAGCTTTTAACAAAAATATCCCAGCTTCATTCACCTACAGTATATCAGATGAAGGGTTGTGTTACCTATCGATGACTTTGAGGTCTTTCCTACTTCACAGTTTACATTTACAGCATGTCTCCTGCTGTTCAGCCTGGACCTTCAGTAAGCAGAGGCAGCGCTCAGGACTGGCAGGTTTCCTTGAAAAACACCAGAGGCAGGACTGAACTGCTCCCCGCGTACATTTCCTTGATGATCCAATTCCTAATCCCTTTGCTCGGAGTTATTACAGCCCTAAAATCACAACGACCTTGTATGGGGTTTGGAAGTGGAAATGGAAGGGAGGCGGCGAGCTGCTGAAATCCAATCTGTGGACACAAATGTAACACGGCTGGAAAACATCAGCTTGATTGGGCAGAAAGTTGTGTCAGTAACCTCGTGGTGTTCTTGTTGTGTCTTAACCTCAGCTTGTGAATGACGCTGATGATGTAAAAGGGGAAATGTCAGAATTTGGCCCCCGTCAAAGACAAACCTTTGAGTTTTTTTTACCTAACTGTCCTGAAGACACTTTTGGGAGTTGGGATGGAAATTTTCAGACGAACAAACACTATAAAGACCTTCTGGGAACACATTTACTAGTCTATGTCTTGACAGATTTCTATACAAATTCTGATTTTTAAACATATAACTGGGAGTCATATGTCAAGGAAGCAGTTAGTCTCAGTGTACACATACACACAAGCTGTCTCAAGTCCAAAAATGCAATTTTTTAAATAGCAGATTATTTTGGATTCACATGAAAACGTGCTTTTGCCAGTCAGATGTTTTCTCAAGCATTTTTGCCTATTGTGACACGCTGAATACTGGCCTTATTAGAGGTCAAAGATCACATTCACAGAGCATTACAGAGCACTGGATAATCTTGTTTCACTCATCGTCATCATCATCATCATTATGTCATTATACTCCCTGTTTCCTGGTAATCGGACATGACCTCATGCCAATGGAACCCAGGAGAGTTTTATTATAATAACTGTCAGATTTTGATCCCTTTTGATTGTTTTGAATCCCACTGAATGATATTTACAACGGACTGTTATGGTGACTTGAGAAAACAGATCATATCCTGTGAGGGCTCCATAGCTCCTTTCCATGTTTTTCTGAGTATCACTTATTGCTGTGGGAATGAAGTCAGATGCGAATATTTGGATGATGATGTCTTGGCAATTGGCAGCTGTCTGCTTATTTGATTTGGCCTGGCGTCTGGCCTGAGGCTGCTGTCCATCACAGGCCTCCTGCAGCCTAGAAAAGTTTCTCCTCCTGATTATTTGTACCAATAATTCGCTGACATCAGGCCGAGCATCTGGAGCTCCACAGCCCTGTTCACTGCTTTCTCTGTATCCATGCATCAGCACTGCATGATCTGTCAACACAGTCTGAGAAACAAGAAAGCACACCTAATAAATCTAGAAATGTAGAAAAGAAGATCAGCTTCTGTTCGAAGGCAATCATTGTCATAAGGTCATCATGATTGCCATATTTTCCTTGATTAAGCTTCACCTGATTTATGTCAAATTTGACCGGATATTAAAAAAGTTAAGGGATCACTACAGATATTACAATCTATCCTAAAGGAGACAGACTGACCTCAAACGAAAAGTCAGAGGTTTTAGTCATTTTGAATAATCGCCTGTAATCGGCAATAATCAGTGTCTGCACAAAGTTACGTCAGAAAGCATCCAATACATGTCGAAATATTTCCGTCTGGACAAAAAAGTAGTGTCCTGCCAAACGTTATAGCGGTGTTACTGATGCTGCTAGAAGTTCCTCATAGCAAAGCTATTTTTCAACAGACTAAGCCCATTGAAAGCAGCTCTGTTGTTTCTTCCTTTCTGCCCTTTTGTAGTTCATGGCTTTTGGCTACAACGCAAGGAAGTGAAATACAAATAGAAGTCTATTTATTGTTGTATGGTGATGCATCCAAACAACTAAAATAACCAAGATGAAAACAGGGAAAGCTGTGGAGCCAAAACTACAATGTTCTACAAACTCAACTCCAACCATGATGTTTACACTGTTGCAAGCTTCTTTTATTTTGCCAACATTGCTTATCTTGAGGATTTTAGTATTGCAGTTGTAGACGGATTACAATATAATGTCCAAAATTAAATCTGCCACTGCCGAGATATCCCCACCTTTAGTGTACAAACGTCCATAACACTGGATCTAACATATCCCATAATGCAGCTCAATAGGTCTACTGCATGTTCATAACTCCATGTGTCCAGTTTGAAATGTTTCTGATGTACAGTAATTCAACATGATTTCATCCAGTCACCCACAGCTCTCACGTTTTCATCTTAAAACTACCTGCAAACTATAACCATATCCAGTTAAAGCAGATGGAGGTGGAACTCTTAACCTTGGTCTCTACTCATGTTCCAGGGCTGTCTCTGGACCACCAGACAGTGTCGGCAGTGTCTCGTGTTCGTCTTTCAGAGAGAGAGGAGGAGAGTCTCTCCTGTTACCTCAGGGCCTGTGATGCTGCTCTGTCCTACCTGCAGGAGCTCGATAAGGTGGGCTTTCGTATTTGTAGAGTAAACATGGTGGGTGTGCATGTTTCTATTTAGGTTTGTGTTCATGTAGCGTCACTGACACTCAGAATAGAAATATACGTGTATATCTGAATTATTGAAGGTGCAGCTGCTGTTATAGAAACCTGCTCATGTATTTGCTTCCTGTTCATGTGCTTCGGTTTACTATTTATACTGAGTTCATTTATATATTTATTTTTAGTTTTTCTCTTCATGACCGTGTTTATTTCTGTGTTTTTTTTAATTTACAATTTCCTACTACAAACATGTAGTACATAGTAATTATTTGTGAGTCTGTATGTGTCGTGATACACAAAGGAATATAGAGCAGTGATGCACTGCACTGGATTTGTAACTGATATCCAGTATGTCAGTATTTTTCAACTTTGCCAAGACTAATAGATGCACATAATTTTTCCACCTTATTGCAGAGAACATCAGGCCTCTCCTGTGGTAGAATTAACATTATTATCTATTATATGGCCCACTGACATAAAGTCCAATGCTTTTAAAGTGTATACATTCAGTGGAGATAGTCAGAAAAGTACTTCAACTTCTAAAAAGATGCTATATTTATTTTTATGTAACTAACTAAAAATGTTTTTGGCTGATACTGATGATGATGATGTGGGTATCATTGTGCATCCCTGATGAAGAATTGTTATAAATGGCTACCTCTTGCTCACATTTTTACACAAGTAAAAGATGTGAATACTTCTTCCACTTACTTTTATCTGACTATCATGTATCTTCTGTGCAACTGACAGTCTCATTTATTCTCATGGTTTTTTTTGTTTAACTTTGTATTTTCAGATTGTCGCCACAACGCCCCATGCAAAGACAGCCAAAACCAGTCTACTTCCTTCACCTGTTGATATCGACCTGGGCTACTTCCTGCAGGCTGCACTGCAGAGTGCTTATCTGTGTCTGCTGCAAAGAGGGTGAGTCTACCAACCATGCAAGCAAACAACGTGTACACAAACATGCAAACAGGATGTCTTTTTATATGCCTGTTCTGTAAAAGTGTTTTGCTTTCATAGATCTGGCTTTATCTTCAAATTTTACAATATTTGGGCACTTTGGTACGGTTACAGTTTCCATTATTCTTATTCTTATTATTACTATTATTATTACTAAAGTTGTGTTGGTGTTGTGTTGTTACTAGTACAACAATTTCCCTGAGGTACCCTACCAAAGGGATCAATAAAGTTCTAATCTAATCTAATCTAATCTAAGCTAAATGATGCGAGAGAACAAAAAATGCTTCCCTTCAATATCTCTGATGCACACTCTGTGACAGCAAAACACCCAAAAGACATACTGATACTACAAGAGACCAATTCAAGCAAAAGCTTCTGAGCAGCACTGGGCCTCAGTGTGGCAGAGATGCATTCTGATTTGTGACCAGCAGGTGTCAGTGCTGCTCTTAGACATAGAAAGTAAAAGTAATTTCAACAAACGCTGGGCTGTGACGTTCGCTTTCTCACTGCAGTAATCCATCCTCCATGAAGGCTCTGATGTTCAGTTTTTACCTGAATTTGTACCATAAATAAAGCAAATAAGTTGGGCAAAATATTAAGTAGTACTTCTTGTAACTTCTATTGTTTACATGGCAGGCCGTGACCCTGTTGTGTTATTAGGAACCTCCTATGGTTCTGTGTTTCTGCCCCACTGTAAACAGTGTGCTATTAACAGTGTGTTATCTGCATATCTGCAGTCCTCTCAGCTGTATTACATGTCTGTCAGGTTCTTCTTCTGCGTATTTATTTGTGTTGTAATGTTACACTTGCACAGCCTATACATCAAAGTCATATACACCTACTGTGTGTGCGTCTCTTAGTCATCTTGCGCAGGGTGCTCACCAGTTGCGTAGGGTGCTCAGGGTGGTGGAGTCACGAGGGTCTCAGAGCTTCAGGAAGGTGAGCCGCCCCACACACACACACACACGCACACACACACGCACACACACACACACACACACACACATCGCTTCAGTATCACATGGTACAATGCAGTCTATCACTGCACTCTGTTCCATGACTTTACCACTGTGATAAAATTCCCGCCGCAGTCCATTTATGTGAAACTAGCTTTACACTAACACCTTATGCAACTTCACTGGCCCTCATGCAAATTTTAAGAAAAATATTGGAGAGAAAAAAAGAAAACACAATAAAAATGTAAGAATTAATTTGTCTTTTTGCATATTAAGTAAAGGTTTCAGACTGGTGGGAGAAAGTTTAAAGGTGCTCTTGTTTTTTTGATTATTTCTCCAGTATTGATTATATGCTATCTTCACTATTGTTATTTAGATTTAATATTTGAACTCTTTCTGCCAATCTATCCAGGATTTATGATATTAGTCTTCTACTAATGCACTAATACAACATTTACGCATTGTGTTTACATCTAGTCTGCAGCAAGGAAACTAGCAAAAGTGTTGCTGAGCTCTGTGAGTGAGGACAGCTACTGGCCCCCGCTGGGCCCCCCACCCTCAGCCTGGCTCAACAGAGAGGGAGCTGCCGCCTCCAAAGACGCCATCTACCCCACTGTTAAACCACCGCAACGTTACAGCACAGATTGGTTCGTATTATCTCCGTTTCAGTTTGTTTCACTAGCTTTGTTTTCTGAGCCATTTTATGTTTCAGTCTGCTTTAATCCTATTAAACCTCTTATCCAGTCTGTTCAGTACTCAGCGCACTAAGTGAAATTGCTTTACCCAAGCTAAACACTTAAGGAGGTTAATGACTCCTGTTATAGTGTTTTGTTACTCCACTGTATCAACTATCAATAGTGCACAAAGGAGTCGTCTGTAGGTGTCACTTTCCTTTATCAAAGTCGTACTTTCAGCCCCATCGCTTTTGTTCAGGTTACCGTCTCGCCATCATCTTGGAGTACGTTGATGGTAGAATCAAAGTTTTCCGTGTCACAAGGATGACTCTCTTTAAATCTGACTAGATCACCATGGCAACTTATGCTGCACAGTTAACCTGCTTCAGAACAGGTTCTTTTCAGAGTTTTGGATTTCAGTCAGCTGTAAGAAGCACTTCGCCAAATCCTTTCCTTCTTTAGCAGCGATACAGACTCTCAGCTGAGAGAATATATTATATCTGCAAACGTGGTGAGAGCCGTACATTACTAATGCTACTGAATAAAGTTGTGCAGGTACAGTAGCACAACTCTATGCGTTGCATTGCCATGGGAACCTGCATCCATACATTCAGTCGGTTATGCAGAACATGCATAAATATGTTCTGATACTTTGTCCTACGCTGAGGTTGCTTTCTACCATCAGGATTGAACTCCAAACCCTCTTGCTGTGAGGTAGCAGTGCCAACTAATGCACCACTGTGCCACCTCTTATTTAATTGCAAGGGTGAAATTCAAGTTTTTTTTTGCTCGTTAACATGTTCATGTAGTGTGTTTTACATGCTAGAAGACACATCATGAGCGAAATAATTAGTCAGTATCACGGCTGAGCATTTCCACCTTCAAACTGTAGTGTATTAATGACATTCTCAAAGACTCAGACTTCCAAAGTTTCATCCATAACGACCTGAAGGCACCAATCCTGTGTCAACCTGCAGGGTGGAACTTTCTGTATCACTACTCTGTTTCAGAATCGTGTGGCTGAATTCCTCCAGTATTACAGCTTCCCATTGTGTAGCATACAGCAGTGTGTTTGAGCGGAGTTGTCGCTGAGCTGCTGTGCTCGAGCTGCACCAAATAGCAGAGGTGTGGATGGAGACAAAGGCAGGAGTTTAGATCTCCATATTGTAGAAGAAACAACAGTGTAGAGTTACATAAAAGCCATTTTGAGGCAGGAAGGTCTTATTTTTCTACTTTTTGAGGTCTAACTGTGATGCAGAGAGATGATACAGGAGTTTATATTAATGCCTGAAGGCAGATTTTAGGTAAGACAGTTCAATACCTGCTGGTACTTTATAAGGCCAGTTTGTGAGTAATGTAAACAGGTGACACTTGTGAACTCAGTCGTTCGAAGTCAATTCTGTTGTGAAATAATAAATAAGGGATTAATCATGTGTTGTACATAACAAATCAGCATAGCATAACAGGACCTGGCACAATGCAGAAAAATCCCTTGCCCAGACCCATCAGAGCAAACTGGTTATCTGCATCAGCACACTAAACTCTATTGCCGCATTGTTGCCTCATTTCTACATTTCCCTCTTTGCAGGGATCCTGCGCTCGTTGCTCAGGCCCTGCGAGCCTTACTTAGTCACCGCCACATGACTAATCCTGCCCACACTATCATAAGTGAAGATCTAAATCCATGTCTGAGATTAGAAGGAGTGGAGGAACAGGAGAATTCACCCTGAGGAATAGCTGTACTTCAGTATTGTTCGTGGCTTTTGTCATCGTTTACCTCTGCTGAAAAGGCCTCGCTGGTGTCTGGTAAACGTGTCCTTTAATAGGACACGGAGCCGACCGGAGAGGGAAGAGGAGCAAAGAAAGTGATGAATGGGAGAGTTGGGTTGGAAGAAATGAAGGAGCCAGTGTGTGTGACATCTGAGACAGTGCTGTATAGTGATACATCCAAGGTGGTCTGTGTTGTGTTACAGCTCCACAGGTGAGACAGTAACCAGACACTGCCGGCAATCTACCTTTGGGCAGGCTGAGTGTGTGTGCGAGTGTGTTTGTGTGTGAGTGAGTGGTAACTCTGTTCTTGGTACTATTTCCTGTTTTTTTTTCTGTGTCCTGGCAGTTGCTTCTGTCCTCAGGACGTGGTGGAGGAGGCTGTGTTGCTGCTGCTCATCACAGAGTCCATGGTGAGACACACACACACACACACACACTCTCTATCCTCAGCCTTTTTTGCTTTCAAAGCACAAAAGAAATATATGCTTCTTACTGTTCCAACACATTTCTCGGAGGGTTCTGCAGCCGACACCAACAGTCGAACCACCTTTTCCTTCCATAGTCTGCCTCATTCTGCTCCTCTTCCTCACCCTCTTCTTCATTCAGTGTCTCTGTTCGTCCAGGCCAGTGGCGAAGCAGTGATCAGTCGTTTGCCTGACCAGGCCGAGGCTCGTCAGGCCAGCCTGCAGGATGCCACCTCTGTCTATGACCTGCTCACCATCGGCATGGCCAGGAGGGGGCAGTACGCCATGCTGTCTGAGGTGCTCAAACACACACTCACATGCCCACACACACACACACACACACACACTATGCTGGAGGTCTGAAGGGGGGAGAGCAAAAGAAAGCGATGAGATGTGTTAGTGAGAGCTTTGCCTTTGCCAAACTTTTTAATGAATGTCCTTATCACTTTGAGCGCAGGGATTATGTGTCTTTTTCTCTCACTGCCTCTCAGTCTTTTCCTCATCTCTCAGCATCCCCCACACTGTCTGTCTTTTTCTTCTTCCTCCTCTTTTTTGTATCACCGAATTCCTCCTTCATTTTCGTACTTAGTTTACATGCTCTCCTAACCCCCACCCCCTTTCCCCAATATGACCTCTACCCAGATGTGGGAAGTTGGGGAGGCGGAGGTCAGAGGGGTTGTCTCAAATTAGGTTTGTCCACCTGTCTGACTGATTCATAGATAGCATCAGTCATCCTATAAGGAAGACCACACACACACACACACACACTCATGCACACTGAGGTAGTTCCACCTACACCAGTGGATCAGTTTGCTGATATACGAGCCCAGTATGGGCCATTTATTTAAAATTAGATGTCATCCAGTCACTGTCATCCATCTTTGATGTCATGAATAAGATTCACTTTGATTGATTGCGTGCTCACTGTAACATTAATCAATCAATGAGGTATCTGCAGCAAGGCCTAATATCATTTTTTAATTTGATATCACACAACTATGTTTTTATATTATCATAATGCTGGATTTTTACAAATCTTTTCCCATCATTGCAAGAATATTATTCAAGGAAAATGTTTGTACGGAAAACAAACAAAACACAAAAACCCCAAAACCACCAAACCACAACATGTGCTACATTCAAATACAAATTTACTTTAATCTAGATTGTCCATTGTCTTTTTCGTCACGTCGTTACTCGTCAGTTGATAATGAACAGAGATTTCGTTTTAATTTTTGCTGTCAGTACTTCTTAAATTTACATTCTCATGATAAATTAGTTACGGAAAAAAGGGTCGTCAATGAAAATCTGTAAAAAAAAAAACTAAAGTACTCAATCCCCCCAAACAAACAAAAAACCCACCCGAGTCTTACATTTGTACATATTATAGTTTGTATTACTGGGTTATTAGTGCTGATACAATGATGTGTAATCAACAATTTATTTTTCTGGTTGGGCCAGGAGCTGATATAAAGGACAGGTTCATAAGTTTTCAAATATTTCTTAAAATGATAGTCAGCTGCCTGTTTGAGCTTCAGCACAGGTTTTGCTTACTGTCGTTATTCCCTCTTTTTTTTTTTTACTAGCGTCTAAAAGATCCCGCCCTACAACTCTTTGGAAGTGACCAGAAACAAATCCACAATCCTTGTTTTGTGCACAAATGTATTCACAAGTTTATCTAAAGTTAATGAAAAAGCTTCGTTAGACAAATCAAGTTGGTCTTTTCCAGAGTTACAGTCTCCTCCACAAACAGTGTTTCCTAGTGGAGCTGCAGTGCAAGCACAGCAACAAAAAGAGGTGATTTGATACTAAAACGACTGCAGGATATCCACTTACTTTGTCAAACTCACACCCCTGCAGCACTAATTTCGTTTCAAATAAACTTTCCAATGTTTTTTTTGTAACAGAATGAGGACTGTACTTTTGTGCATTGTCTCATGTTGCTTTAAATAGAGGAGCATTAAGATGGGCTCCTTTAATGTCCACTATATTTAATATGAATGATTACAGAAGAAAAGAAAACTGACATTGACATACTTCACTGATCATTGTTTTAGGACAGACTTGAAAAAAACTGTGAACATATTCTTTCAGTACTTTGATGGGTTGTTTGGTTTTTAATATTTAATTAATATTTTGGATGATAATGTGTTTGTACGTAAATCTTTATTCTAAAAGTAGGTGTAGCTTCTAAGTAAATATAAAGAGTTTAATATTTCTGACTAAAGTTAAACATGAAACTAAAATACTCTAAATACAGTACGACTGTACTATAGCCTGTGTTATGTCATCTTTGTGGTCACATAGAGGCGCCACAGTGTGATATAAACACAACTCTGACATTTCATAATTTTGACATGTTGTCATAGCAAACATATGATCACACTGTTGCCTGTTTACACATCCAGTACACATAAAGTTTTGAACATCTCTTTACCTGGTGAGTGCTCTACTATGTTCTCCAGCTGGTCTTCATTTAGGCTGATGTTTGGTGCTGGCCAGGTAGTGGACGGTGGGTTTATCAGAGATTATCACTGAAAATAGTTTGACAGAAACGAGGGTGTCTTGCATATTACGTGTAGTCATTACAAGGATTGTTAATAAAAAATAAAAATGGTGCAGCTTTAAGTACAGCAGTTAGGCAATACACTGTATAACTTTTCACTGCAGTTTCCTAAATTACACTTCAGCTATAGCCTACTTCCAGCTCTCCACATTAACCCCTTTAAACAGGGGTTAAATAGGGATTTGTAATAGTTTGGGGCCTGATTTAGCAGGGTTAACAAGGTTCAACGGTGCTATGTAGCAGCAAAGACAGTTGCAGCTTCACATGACTTTACAAAGACCCAACAACCATCCTTGATACAATTCATTCACACTTCAGTTCATTTGTTCACTTTAGAAAGATCTAATGCCCATTCAGAGCTACAATTAGCTACACAGTTCACACTCTCTTATTTAATTGGAACCCACCAAGGTTGATAGTGTACGCTTTGGCTCTGCTCAGCACGACATCTTTGTCTGCACGTTACATGGTCAGCAGCTTTTCTAACAAGTGCATATTTAATGATAATATCAGCTAGTTGTTTTTTCCTGGTTTAGCTCACTTCTGCATGACTGACAACATCTGATTGAACGGCGCTCCACGCCATCCTTTGCTCGTCCACACACACATCAATCACATTATTATGTACTGAAACAGCGCACAGTGGGTGGTGAGTGGTGATTGACAATCAGTTTCAAGCTAGAAGAATGTGGCCAAGAACAGTGGCTATTCAGTTTTATAACTGCACAGAGGAAAAAAATTAATAAGTAAATTTAATGCCACCAACTTAGTCGAGGTTCACCAGCCAAGACTCTCCACTTACACTTCCTGCTCGTACAAAATTGCGTAATGAAAACATATTTGTGCGGCTGTGTTTCTCTTCCCAGTGTCTGGAGCGAGCCATGAAGTTTTCATTCAACGAGTTCCACCTCTGGCACCAGCTGGGCCTGTCACTCATGGTGGCCGGGAAGGTGAGCTCATTTCTCCTTAAATATCAGCGACAGACCCTCACACCCACTCCATGCCACACCCAAAGGAGACATCCATCTTCTGCCATGTCTCTGTCCTGCACACCGCAGTGCTCCTTCCTCACCCTCATGTCCACACGTGCAACAAATAGCATTCACAGCTAAGTGTTCACTCTGCTTAGAGGAGCAGATACGTTGAATTTTACTAGATCTGGACAATTCAGATGTTGCTAAATAACATACAATAGAAGTGCCAGATCGACTTTTTCAGTGTAAACCAGCTGGCGTACAGTATATGGAACATTTGAATTGTATGTCGGCTACATGGCAGGCAAATGTTGAAATCTTAAAAAAGGACATTCTTTAAATGGGAGTCCTCAAAAGGAGCTGGAATAGTTCACAGTTCTCTGTCTCACTGTCCCTCTGTGTGTGTGTTTATGTGTGTGTGCGCGTATGTGTGTGCGCGTGTGTGTATGTGCGCACCGATGTGTGTGACAGAAAAATTGATCTGGGTTGCGGGATAAAGTGACACTGCAGATCAATGGAGGACTCTAGAAATAGGCTGCTCCCTAGAAGGAGAAGGGGCCGCCTCAGTGTCGTCAGATCCGCTTCTATTTAGGGCCAGTCGTGCACATGTGTGTGTGTGTGTGTGGGTGTGGGTGTGAGTGTATGTGTGTGTGTGTGTGTGAGCACATGCGCGTGTGCACGTGGTCCATTAATGATTGACCTACATGTATTAAGTGACTGTGTGTCTAAATGGGTCTATTAGGGCTGTGTAAGGACAGTTGATGTGTGTTTGATACACTCACTTAAAAGCGATCCATGTCATCTGTGGCTGCATGATAAGTAGCTGCTGTGTGCACATGAATCACAATTTGTCATTGACATTTCCCTATGTGTGTGTGTGTGTGTGTGTGTGTGTATGTGTGTGTTTCACAGGGGGTTGGTGCTGTGTCCGTGTTTAAAGAGTGTGCAAGGATGAGACCAGAGGATCCTTCATTGCCTCTGTTGGCTGTTAAAGTCTGCATTGGTCAGCTGCACTGGGTGAATACACACAAACATCAAACTTGCATATGATGCACATAACACACACACACACACACACACACACACACACATCTCAACTGAAATCCAAACATACAGGACCAGGATTGTGAGCCTGAGGCAGTTACAGAAAGGTTACTATATAATTATCTGTTCTGCTGTCCTCTTGCTGTGATGCTTTTGCACTGCATTTCCCAGAGATACTTGTTGCTGCTGGGATTGTGTGTGAGTAGGTTTCTGTAGGTGGAGCTGTTTTCCTTGTCTGTTCAGTCGTGTGGAGGCGTTTACAGTAGATACAGAGTAGCAGATGTTTACATCAATGGTTGCCACTCTGGGATTTAACAAGGGATCCCCAGATGAAGAAATCAGAAGATGTTTGAAATGATGAAGCAGAAAATGATGAGAGCATGTGCTGCTGGTCTTCACATGGCACCCAAACAGCTCCGACTCCCTGGAGGTATAGACTCTATAAGATCTCTGAAGGAGCCCCTGGGGTATCTGGTACCAGTACATTATCAGCGGATCCTTTATATCCTGGAAGCTGCAAGTTAGAGCCACCATGGATCAGATTTCACTTAGCATCTCTCCCCACAGTTTTTTTTTTTGCTGGTTCATAGTTTGTCCTCCTCAGACCAGTGTTGGTGGTCATTTGCCACTGCTGACCAGTGGCACCCTACAAGATTCAAGTCACTGAGGATTTTACAGCTGCTTCTTTTCTGTCATCTAAATGTATCCCAGGCACTGACATGCACCTTTTTAATGAGATATACGATGCAGTTAGCGCTCACAAGTACACAATTTACACGACAACATATATTCATTCTGCTGAACATCTTTTTTATCTTTCTTGTCTTTTGTCTTTCTTTCACGTTCCTGCTTGCCTCCGTACGTCTATTAGAGATACAAGCCAGCTCCTCAGGAGTTATTCTTAAAAAGGCTTCATATTTTAGATTCAGTCCCACTAAATCTAAATGAGTTTTCTCCAGTGTCTCTCCTGACTGTAACAAGCTCACATACGCAACCCTGCATCAACCTTTAAAGCAGCGGTTCCTGACATTCACTGAACATGCAGAAGATGTCTTGTTTCATTCAAATGAAAAGCTCTCAGGGCAAAAAACACTCATCATTTAAATGTTCCTAATTGAGGCACACACTGACTTAAAGTAATCATCCAGGCAGTGTCAACAGAATGTGAACTTGTCACAAAGCCAAACTGCAGTACGGTATGTCAAAGTTTGGGAAGCCAGAGGCAAATTACACATTTTGTTGATTTTTGAAAATGAAAAGAAGTACTGTAAATACAGCTCAGGAGGAAACAAATGTTAATACACTCTTGGTTTGTATTTCAAATTTTTAAAATAAACAGAAGACAGTAACCCCCCTTTGACAGATATTACAGCTTGCAAATAGTTTCTGTTGCCAACCGAGAGTCTTTTCATTCTTGATTTAAGAATCTTCACCATATGTTTTGGTTGTCTTGCACACACAGCATGCCCGAGATCCCCACCCAGATATTTAATGATGTTCATATCTGGAGGCTGTGGGGACCACTCCAAAAGCTTCAGCTTGTGTTCCTTATTTGTGCATCAGTGCTGCACAGTGAAGCAGTGCATTACCACTATTCTGACAGCTAAACCTTCCTGCAGCTTCCCTGCAGTCATGTGGGGGTTTTGCTTTGCCTTTTCTGTCCAATAGACGTGCAGTTTTATTCCCCCAGATCTTGTCTTAACTTCTACAGTTGCCCTTAACTGCCATTTCTTAATGACTTTTTCGGAAAGTGGGAATTGCAGGCTGGAAGCACTTTGATATCTTTTTATAGCCTTCTTCTGCTTTCTAGGCATCACTTATCTACATTTTCAAATCCTCACTCAGTTTCTTTAAGGAGCAAATGGTTTTTTACCAAAAAGTTCAGAAGAAAGAGTCAGAGAATTGGTCAGCTTGGAAATATCAGAGGAGGAACTCCTAACGACTGTTCTTGACCTGCCTTCATAAGCAGTCAATTAAGGCCAAATGAAAGATAGCTAATTATAGTGAGAAACCCAGCAAAGATTCCCTAAGATTCCCTCTGAGCAGCAATGTACAAACTGGAAATGGCAAGTTGAGAACTACAATTAGCTTCTCCTCAGATCTCTACATGTAGGAAGAATTCTAGCAGCCTTTTTAATACATCTCTGGACAGCATAGCTTTGTTTTCCAGGCATATACATGAATGGCAATTTGCAATATATAAACTTCTGTATACCAGGGGACAAACCTTTGTTTAATCATCAATTACAGGACTATAGGAGTCTTCCATTGAACCCATCCATCCATTATCTATACACCGCTTAATCCTCACTAGGGTCGCGGGGGGGCTGGAGTCTATCCCAGCCGACTCAGGGTGAAGGCAGGGAACACCCTGGACAGGTCACCAGTCTATCACAGGGCTACACTTAGAGACAGACAACCAAGCCCACGGACAATTTAGAATCACCAATTAACCTCAACATGTTTTTGGACTGTGTGGGAGGAAGCCGGAGAACCCGGAGAGAACCCACGCTGCACGGGGAGAACATGGAGACTCCACGCAGAAAGATTCCGGTGCCCCCACTGGGACGTGAACCGGCGACCTTCTTGCTGCGAGGCAACAGTGCTACCAACTGCATCACCCTGCAGCCCCCATTGAACCCATTTTTCTGTCAAATCTGATTTTACTACAGTTGCAGGACAACAGTTCTAGACTCCATCTCGCAGCACCGTGATGCCTAATGTTGATCCATTTTCTGACAAAGCCATCATCAGGGGGAGTCAGACTGACATTGAGTTGAAAAATGTACCGATCCATTTCACATCAGATGACCTTCTGTGGTATCAGTTTCATAAAGTTCTGCAGGAGCCACATACTGCGAGTCAATCATTCTGCAGTTCTAATGAGTCCACTGAGCTCTTGCAGAGCTGAAGTACTGGTAGGCTTCACCTGTTGGGCACCAATTATCAAATTAGGTTTACCTGTTTTATTGTGAAAAGTCTTATCACAAAGTTTAAGATGACTGTTTGTGGTTCTTGTGGTGTTTTCTTTTGCAGGAATGAGCTATTGTAATGCTAACTTCTTATCCACATGTTTTCCAGAGGCACAGTCACAGCATCCTTCAGGTAGCCCTGTCCAGGACCCGTGTGATTGGTTTAAACACACACAAGAAAACCAGGGCGTGTTTTCCTTCCAATAGCAGAATGATAGTGATGTGCTAAGTGAGACTAACTTTGAGCAAACATTAGGCAACAGTGGGAATAAAATCAGCAGAACCAGGCTCAGGGATGGCGGATGTCTGCCTTGACCAGTTGGGATGAGGGGAGAGAGACCAGGATCGCAGATAGATGCATCAGAAAACAATACACACTTTGGGAGGTTGGTGGGCATTAACAGCTGATAACAGTACTTGCAGAGAGGATGATACATGGACTATACATTAGTAGTAGACCAGAAAAGGTTATGACAAATCCTTATGTGTATTTCATTCATTTCAAAAAGGTTTTAAAAATGTATTTTGTTCAGAGAAGCGCAGACCTTTACATGCTTTACATGCTGGGTATAAGGTTCATGTTTCACAGGATTACAGACATAGTAGCAAATATCCATTTTCCATCTGGAACTAACAAGATATTATAAATGCTTAAGCATGTGATGATAGTATCACAGACAAGTAATCCGTGCACGTTCACATTTTCATTTAGCCCCATCAGCTTTAGCTAGCACTTATAAGATGATAAGCTAAAAGGTGAAGTTGTGTCATGGAATTGTGTAGCACACAGACTTATGGAATATTTAGCGTGCATGATATGTGTGTGTGTGTGTGTGTGTGTGTGTGTGTGGAAATGCAGTGTGTGTGTGTACAGTGGAAGATGTAGTACAACATCACCGTGTCACTAATGTTTGGGGATTGACACCGGGGTCGCTCAGGCAGATAGGCATCAGTGTGAACCCCTGCCAGCTTGGATACTCGTGCTGTTCATGATCTAGGAAAGAGGGAGAAAGTCACATGAACAGTGGTATTTAGTGTGCAGGGAGAGAGAGAGAATTGGTTTGGCTGTGAGTGAGTTAGACAGAGACAGAGAGAAAGGGGTCAGAGATTAGAAGAGAGGAGCCAACAGTGGCGAATGGAGGGAGCACATCTGTCAGTGGCTGGAGATCATGGCAGGCCGGAGACACTAAGGAGCTTACAGCTTTAATCACAATGGGACACTATGGCCATAGTGCAGTGTGGCATTACATAAATGGGCCACTGTTATCCACCATCAGCTCCACTGGACAGTCTGGACTGTTATCTAGCAAGCAACATTTATTTATTTTTTTTTGCTCTTTCCATCATACCACGAGTCCACAGTGCAGACCGCAGCTTAACAGTAATTTGCTCATTTTTTCAGGTTTTTATGGTGGTCTTTTAGACATATAGGCACAGAAAAAACCTTCCCTAAACACATGACATCACCACAAACTGCCTGATTGGCGATCTGTAAGTAAAGCTGCTTTTCTAAATTCCTAAAGAGCAGTTATACAGATGTGAGGTTTTCAGCCGACAACAGCGACACATTCTTCTTTCACACCATTCAAGGGAGGGAGGAAAAAAAAAAAATCACAATCCTTCTAAGATGTGCATGGACGGGCTGTGTGTTTAAATGACTGGCTATTGTGTGCAGGCTTTGAACTAGCAAGGACTGGATTCAGAGAAAGAGACACAGAGAGGAGGAGGATGAAGGGAGGAGGAGGAGGAGATGAAGGGGAGGGAGGGTGTCGGAGCAGTTGGCTTGCTGTTGCACTGGCGTGCCGTCAAAGGCATTACCCCCCCAACGCCCACCTACCCACCTGCCCGCCCGCCACCAGCCATACCTCACACGGAGTGACACACTTTTTCCTCAGCTCAGAGCACCTCGGCTCGCCTCAGCCACGCACCGCCTGCAGTCTACTGCTGTGTGTGTGGGCGAGCGTGTGTGTGCGAGTATGTGTCCTTCAGCAAACTCTGCGCCGTCCTTCAGCAGAATCTGTTCGGACTGTCCTCGCACTAAACTCTCACCAGGCTCAGCCATCAATACTCCGTTCCCTGCTGCACCTTGGACACATTTGCCGCCCAGAGCTTCTGAGTTCCGGTGAATGAGAGCATGCTGCAAGTCCTGCTACAGTTGCTTCATGTTACAGAGGATTGGTTTCATGATATAAGTAGTGATTAGCATTTTGCCTACTTGTTGAAGTGCAGTATTGTGCAACAGCTTCAATGTTTAGATTGTTATATATCACACTGAGCCATGAGTGAAGCCTCTGACTGACTCCAAACATACAATCACAGCCATAACTACCTTCAGTCAGAAAAAGAATAAGGAGTCAATAGAACCACAGATGGTCTGGCCCTGATCTCAACATAATGGAATCATTCAGTCATTACATGAAGAGACAGAAGACGCAGCCCAAATCCACTGAAGAACTGTGGCAAGTTCTCCAAGGCGCGGGAACAACCTACCTGCCAACTACCTTGAAAAACAAGTTTCCTGAGAAGAACTGGCATCAGCCTCTCACCAAATATTGGTCTGATCATTTTTTCTACACTGTACTTTGTTTTAAGTTAATTGGCACATAAAAACTCTTCAGAGCATTATTTTGGAAGCCATCGTCACCTTACTTTTGCACAGTGCTGCATATGCAATCAAACATTCAGAGGTTAAATGAGTACATGCATGTGTGTTTATGTGCAGTATGAGGAGGCAGAGGCTCTGGCCCAAAGTGTGGTGTCGATGGGGCAGGAAGCAGGAGAGTTTCTGCCCAGGGCCTACCTGGCTCTGGGTCTCTGCTGCAGTCTACAGGCCTCTGATGGTAAGGATCAACAGTATCCCGAGCATATCGTCTCTAGAAAAATGACAGCACCGACTGTTCAGATGCTTGAAAGGACATATGTTTCTATTTTTTGACAAGCGGTAGTAGTGCTGAGTCAGGCTTACTGGTTAGGCGACACAAAATTAGTTGTCTCCTGGAATGCTGTTTCATATTTAGCTTACTGACCTGACATTGAGATCTTCTTAATCCAACTTTTAAATATTTTTTCAAAATTCCTGAGAAAGTATTTCTTGAACCATACTAACGGCTACATATAAAAAAATAAATAAAAAAAAACTTTACTTGTATGATAACCAGGGGTTGTCTGGGAAAAGGAATGACAAATTACTTTTTTTGTTTTTTTTAGTTCAGATATTATGATCTGTTGATGCTTCTATTGCATTTAACTGTTCAAGAGAAGATGAGCTTTTAATTATCCAGCGGTGGGGAATTTGCAGTGTTACAGCAGCAAAGGGGGATTGTACAAACGTGAAGCGGACATCAGTAGAAAATGAAAACAAATAAAAAAATATGCATAACTGTCAAAAATACACAAAGCTAGTTCAGTTAAGCTTGACTTTGTCTTCTCTGCAGCGACCCTGAAAGCAGATCGGAATGAGTTCAACAAAAAAGCGCTACAAGCTTTGAACAAGTAGGTCCCAGTTCTGTCTTTCTCCTTCACACACTATTTGTCTGTTATTATACATTTGCTGTATGTACATATGTTGTACATCTACCTTTTTTCTACTAGATGTGTAAATTCTTGTATATATTTGTCTTATTATCTTGTTTTATTTTTTTATTAATATTCATTGTATTTTATTCTTTTCTTTCTTTAGCTATTTTACTTTATTTTATTTTTTAATTTTCCTGTTTCTATTATTCACGCAAATTCCTAGGGCGACACCAACAGCCGAAACCAAATTCCTTGTATGTTGTGTACGTACTTGGCCATTAAAGCTGATTCTGATTCTGATGTAACATGTTTTAATTTTTAGCCATGTTAGCAATTACTAAACAATAACTAAATGACCAAATACCTTTGTACCAAGTGACATCTAGCATCACATTTCAATCTGACCTGTACTGTGATTGATTAACAAATGCTTTCAAAACCTCTGACGTTCCCATCAGCTTCAACTATGCTTTAGGTTTACTGCTAATTAGCAAATGTTACCATGCTATCAAGATAAACCAGGATGTAACATAGGAAGGATTTAACATGCTCACATTAGCCTGTTGATTAATATCATTGTTAGTGCTGATATTACAGCAGCAGCCCTGTATTGTCGAGCACGGCCCGGCCTCACAGAGCTGCTCCAGTTGCATCTAAAGAAATGCTTCAAACACAGCTTTTGTCCTGCTAACACACAGGGTTTCGGAGTTTATGACACATGCAGCAATTAAAAAAGTTTCCGCTCCGACTATTCTAACCTTTACTGACACCATATGAAGGGCCATTTGTCTTTCCTCCACAGAGCTCATTCATTAGACCCTCAGGATGCTCAGATTGCTATGTACCTGGCTCTGCAGCTGGCCCTCGTACGCCAGGTATAAGCACACAAATGAGAAAGATATTGTTGTTTTTTTTTGTCATCAACAGCAGATATTATTCATTAAAAACACACCATATTGTAGGTTATAACTGAAAACGGGTGTACGTTTGGCAGGTATCAGCAGCCATGGAGCCCCTGCAGGCAGCTTTATCTCTCCGTGGGGATGACTTACACTCCCTCCACCTGCTGATCCTGCTGCTGAGTGCCCAGAAACACCACCGTCATGCCCTGGACACCCTGGGCCTGGCCCTCAGCCAGCACCCCGACAACTTCAAGTAAAACCCACTACACCATCCCACTCACACACGCAACAGAAAATGTTGGTGGAAGTGTTGGTGAATTGAGGATAAAGCAATCGATCGCTGCGCTTGTGATACTTTGTATGGTGTTTTTTTTTATGTGTGTGACTGTGTGTGTGTGTAAAAGTGTAGCTCCAGTGAGTGGTGCAGTGAGGCCCTGTCCTAACACCAGTCCTCTCCGTAGGGATAGGGTGTCTCAGCTCCACTATGTTGGAGGCCAAGCGCACACAAACACACACACACTTGACGCCTTATTTAGACGTGCCGGAGTGGAAGCCTGCATTGCGGTACCTATGCCCCTCATACACCCTTACCCTTTTAACACTGCAGCTCTGACCCAAGCCCTAGTCCTGTTTTCCCGACAGAACCGAGGCACCCTAAACAGCTGAACCCACCTTCTTGTTACGCCAAGCAGGTTCAAACGCATAAAAACAGATTTCAGCCCTTATCATTTGGGGCAGGCAAGTATTTAGGGACATGAAAGGACACGTCGCAGGTTTAGGACTTGAACCTTTGACCTTTCGGTTGTGGGTTGGTATCTCAAACCATGCTCTTCACCTTTAAACCAAACCATACCTGTATTTAGAAATACATAAGTGCATAATATTCACATTCTTTTAAAGCACATCTAAATTAATGAGTAAAATAAATATAAAAAATCTCGGCATATGTGCAAAATACTAAAAAAGACCCAAAGAAGTAAAGTTGTTTGTCGCGGAAATTTTTAATTTGAGCTCCAAGTGTAATAATCAGCAGCAGTATAAGCTCATAATTCTGTTTTCTTCCTGCCGTTACCTCACAGACATGATTCTACTCAGTCATCCGCAGCAAAAGCACTAAAAACGTACTCATTAGCTGCGGAGGAAGCTCCATTGTATAAGACAGACAACATTAACAATCAAGGCCAATTATTTCACACTAACCATAATATGGAAGCATGTTGCATCATCTTTCTGATGTGTTTTTTTTTTTTCTTCTTCTTTATTTCAAAGCTCAATAAAGCATTTCATAATGCAGCCATTTGGGGTCAGTGTTGGCCTCCACGGTCCCAGCTCAGACAGATGGGGTGCATCCATACATCAAGAGAGAGAGAGGAAATGCAGAAAAACAAGAAAATTAATGAAACAACGAGGGAAAGGAAGGACATAAGAGCCTGACAGGGAGAAGAAAACACCGAGATATGCAGTTGATGCAGAAAAGACGATGGTTTTATAATTACTGGAGCTTTACCGATCAGCACTGTATGTACAGTTGGAACAGGAATCTGTTCTCTCTCTGTCTAGATGCACAATCGCACACTTAGACACACACACACACACACACACACACCTCCTCCGTAGAGACACTTGACTGCTTTGACCCATTTAAGAGCTCTTTTCCGGGCTCGGCCAATCACATCGCTCTCTGCGCCAGGAATCCCCATCGCCCCGGTAACCATGAGGTCATATTGGTGGAGCAGGCAGCATCAGTTGTTGTTTCCAAACTGTTGTTATGGATCGGTAGAGAGACGTTGAGTCAGAGACCAAGAGAGAGAGAGAGAGAGATACAAATCTATGTATTGGTCGTTTACTGAATGGAATAGCTGAGTTCAAATGAAATGTTACTAGAGCTGCATTAGCTGTATCATCACCGTTAGGATTTAGTGATCTGTGCTACTAGTAAGACATTTACTTCATATTTAACTAGCATATTTGTACTTAACCAAAACATTATTAGAGAAAGGAGCATACAGTGGAGATCTGCACAGGCATTAAATAGTGACATAGCTCTATTCTTTTCAGGAAACATGGGACCAGTATCTAAAACAAAAACTATTAATTTATTGAGTAGTACTGATTTGAGTGTGGCATACAAACAACATCTAGCCTGCTGTTACATCGGCCTATCCGTAATGATTAAACAAATAAACAGGTAGCGTCACAGCTCCTAATGAGCATTCATGAGACGACACACTGATAAACTGATAGCAGAGAGTAAAATAAATCACAAAGATGAAGTTGTGAGCAGTGTACTGATAAATATGTAGACATTGCACTGTTTGTAAGTCAGAGTGTTTACTCCTATGAACGAACCCTCAAAAAGTTATCGCCTCACTCCGCTGCTTCCTTCAGGTAAACAAAAGTGAGTGTTTTACATAATCTGTAGGTTAAAGATCTTGCTCTTTTCGAACTAGACATGACAAGTAAGTGGTGAATATTATTAAGAACTAAATTCGATGCGCAGTGATGCAGCAGTCAATCGATCACAAGGTAGCGCTGTGCTAAAATTATTCTGCTTTATTTACTCTAAACAGAACCATTCATTCATCCATCTATTATCTATACATCGCTTAATCCTCACTAGGGTGATGGGGGGCTGGAGTCCATCCCAGCTGACTCAGGGTGAAGGCAGGAGACACCCTGGACAGGTCACCAGTCTATCACAGGGCTACACTTAGAGACAGACAACCAAGCACACTCACATTCACTAAACATGACCATAATTTACTAAATGAACACCATGCTGTATTGACCTAAAATCAGCCATTGAGACCATAAACTCACTGGTGAAATGTTTACTGAGGTAACAGATCAATTGAGAAGTAGGTTCATTTTCTCATATACTGCTGTACACGCCAGGACTTCCTTTTGCAGTCGTAGGAGTCGCTCCCTGCTGGCTGTTAGAAAGAATGCAGGATTAAGGTACTTCTATATTACCTCTACTTTTCAAACGAAGAAGCTATGTCCATTTTTTATCCACAGTCTGTGGTGTTTTAGCATCTTTCACATCACTGTTATGATTTTATAGCCAGCAACTGATGAACTGCTTGATCTCTTCCCTCCTGCCACTTTCATCAAACCTATTTTATAGGCAGCTGTTTGCAGATGAAATCCCATTATTAAAAATTCTTCAAACATTTTATTTTGTTTTTCCTTGTTTACATGTCCATAAAGTGTTTTTATATGCTGGAAATAAGCAGTCAACACTATGGCTGAGCATTTTCCACCATGGAACTGCAAGGTACCATTGGCAGTCTCAAAAACATAGATCCAGACGTCAGGGTTTATACGTAACACATTTAAGGAACCAATCATGTCAACTTTCAGATTGGAGATATCTGTGTCATTATACTTCTTTAGAATTGTTTTCTGTTTTGAACATATATGTTTATTATCACTTACCACTGTGTATTATACAGGAGCTTTACAGTGTTGGAACAGAGTCAGTTAGCTGGTTAGCTGGAGCTGCCTGAAGTAGGGACAGATAAGTGAAAGACTGGATCTACCCTTCTGGAGAACATAATGGGTGTAGAGTTACATGTAAGTCATTTTAAGGCAGAACAGTATATTTGGAAATAACTGCTTGATAGTCCAATGATGAGGGTGTAAGCCATATGGGTGATTCCCACCTAACCAGACCCTGACTGCATGTCATTCTTCTGCTCTAAGAAGAGAGCAAACATTGTTAAGTAGTTAACAAGTTTTACCATGCTGCCTATGAAGTGGGTTATTTATGTAAAGCAGGAGCTACAGTATGTTTCTATTTTTTTTCCTGAAGATTCAAGTAAATGTCAGTGCAGATGACAGTGTTGTTTCACCATGTTGTGGTTAATTGCACATCTTTCAAATCTCTACAACACATTGTGTGACCACGCATGTCAGAGTAGCCTTTAAGCTTATTGGTTGACTTAACTTCCTGTTGGGAGGTAAGATTGAAACAGACATGGTATACCTAAAATTCTTCCAGACATGCAAAGTAAATCTTGTGCATATTTGTGTCTGAACAACACCTGCTGCATGCTTGCTTTCATGTAGACAGAGGAAAATATAAGATTATTCAACAGTGTAGCATTAAAATTGCAATGATGAAGGCAACACTTGATTGTAACATTTAATTATCAGCTGTATTTAAACACAACCCAGTACTCTCATGAAAACGGATCTAAACCTAGCAGCACACTCAGCACCTGCTGGACTCAGGCCGAGTTTCTGATCTCAGAGTCAGAGAAGGAGAGATCGACACAGAGGGACAGATAGGGAGAGAGGGAGGCAGTGAAAGGAGGTGTTTTCTCAGTAACAAGCTCATTGAATATCATTTGCTTTGAATGTGTGAGCGAGCATCAGAGATCAAAGCTCGCATCATGCATAGAGCTGGGCATTCCGCAACAGTCGTGTGCTTGCGTGTGTTCTTGCATGTTGTGGGGGTGGGGGGATCCGAACGTGTGTACAAGATCGTAATCTTGCACATGCATGTTTGTGTGTCACTGCGTGTGTGTGCATGCATGTGTGTGATTCCTGTTAGCCGCTGCCTCTCTGCACCACAGCAAACTGTCAGCTCGCTGTAGCATACCGAATTTCTCCTTCCTCCTTTTTCTCCCACATCCTCTACCCCCGGCTTCTGCCTTTCTCTCTCTCCATCTCTTCCGCTCTCACTTTCTTTTCTCACCCTGTCTTTCTTTCCTTGCCTCTCACTTTTTTTTTTTTATCTCTCCGTCTCCATTTCTCCCTTTTCTTTGAAATTTTAATCACTCAGTAAACAGGCATGCATTTCAATGTGAAATGGGATTCTGCTACAGATTGAGAGAGCTGAGGCAGGAGAGGGAGAGAGAGGGGGAGGGTTGTGAGTGTGAGAGAGAGAGGGGAGGTGGGAGAGACAGTGATTGTGGTCTCACAGTTTGTACTAAAGAGAATGATTAATCCCAGCCTTTGATTCTGCATTCATCTAACGGGATGTTGCAGCTTGAGGAAGTGTGTTTATGCGTGTGTATGCATGTGTATAAATGTGTGTTAGCGTGCATGCATGGCTTACTGTATGCTCTGCTACACAAAACAAGCATGTCTGCACAGGCTCGTGTATTAATCTCTATGCATGCTGTATGTGCTGTGTGTGTGTGTGTGTGTGTGTTTGCACATACATATACAAGTGTGATGTGCGCTCGTGTATGTGCACACACACACGCACATGTGCTTGTCGAGAATACACACTCTGATCTGTGGGAGTGCAGAATGAGTAATACTGTAGATGTACCACTTTTTCAAGGGAACATTATTAGCTATTTTTATAAGGAGTTTACGCTGGCACTCACTGCTCTTACCCGGCCACCACCGAGCATTTACTCTGAACTACGCTACTCACTGCCATCCGTCCTTTAACACTACGCTCTGCACACACCAGGCTCATTCCCAGAAGGCTCGAAATGACAGCCTTTGTAATCTGATGTGTAGTTTTGAGTGTTGTAATCTTGACGAAATCTATCTTTTCTGAAGCTGCGAGGGAAAACACCGACTGTGATCGAGCGGTGAATAACAAGGTGGAAAAGACTCAATCATTGGACGGCTTAGATCAGTCTGATATCACTTATTTTGATATGCGCAGTGAATTCATCTTCGTCAGAGCTCGTGGTGGTGTGAATACACAATTTGAATTAATTGGCTGATATTAGAGAGTGAGCTTTATTCTTAATTTTTAGTAGGATGCTCAATTGTTTTGTAATTTGCAGCCTGTTCGTAATGTTTGCTGTTCATTCAGATTCCAGTTGTTCCTCTCCAACGTTCGGTTTTAGTTTGAGTATTTTTATTTGATAATCGTGATGATGTTTGATGATATGAAAGCTAACACTGTGCAGAAACCTTCCAGCGGCTTAAAGGACATAATGCTTCTCTTTCCTGCCAAGCTTGTAAACCGATACTGTACACTTACACGTTATTTGAGCTGCAGAGTTTATGATATGATTGTACTGGGATGAAACACATCAATGGTAATAAGTAGATATCAGCCAACAATGTTCAATAGTCTCACTTAAAGGCATCAGATGTGAACTGCCGTGAAAGCACATAACAAAAACACAAAATTCACTTTCACCAGCACACTCCCAAGCGTGCTCCCTCCCTGGCCCTAAATAGCCTATCAGCCCTTGATACCAGAGCCTCGTTCTCCCGTTGGCTGCCGTGCAGGGCTGCTGAGTCCATGAGTTCTTTAGATTTGTTACTATAAAACCCCTCGAGCCTAATCAGTGTTTTTGAGATTGTTATCAGCACACCTCTATGTCAAGGTGGAAGTCGAGCATATAAAAAACAAGACATGGACATGCTGACAAGGTATCTCTGTTGTCACGGTTTGCTGTTAATCTAAACTGAAATCTTCGTAGGTATTTTGTCTGTTGCGGCCCGGTGAAACTCAGCACTCAGTGAAGAAAGTAGATAGTGTGTATGTCCAATCCCAGCTCTGTGCCAAAAATCACCACCAACAGTTTACTGATGCATCATTTCAAACTAAAAGTTCTTCATCAGGAAGACATTCATGCAAACAGAAAAAAATAAGAGCTCTACTTACAAATAGAAGATTTGATAGAAAATAGCCATTATCCAGAACTACGATAGCATGTAAACTCTTACAGCAGCAGAATATTTAACATCCATCCATCATCTATACACCGCTTAATCCTCACTAGAGTCCTGGGGGGCTGGATTCTATCCCAGCTGACTCAGGGTGAAGGTAGGGGACACCCTGGACAGGTCACCAGTCTATCACAGGGCTATACTTAGAGACAGACAACCAAGCACACTCACATTCACACCTACGGACAATTTAGAATCACCAATTAACCTCAACATGTTTTTGGACCTTGTGGGAGAAAACCGAAGAGAACCCACGCTGCACAGGGAGAACCTGGAAACTCCACGCACCCCACCGGGACGTGAACCGGCAACCTTCTTGCTGCGAGGCAACAGTGCTACCAACTGCACCACCCTGCAGCCCTAATATTTAACATGTCCCTCATTAACATTACCACTAATAAGCTACTGCTAATACAAAAGTTTTACTGAAAATAAACAAGAGGCTCAAGTTAGCAGGATATAATCAGAGTATGTTTGTTTATTTATGTCAACACAATTGTATTCATGCAGTGATAGGTCTGCTCAACATTCTTCCCCCCTGGTCATCCATGACCGTCCTGCGGTGCCTTTGTGTCCTCCCAGGAAGACCCCGCCCCCAAGTTTGAGAAACTGCATGCATTTTAAGTACAGTACAATTTTGCAAAGTTATCATTTGCAGGTAATGCTAGTGCTTATTTATGACAACTTGAGAGTGAAAGGGATTGGATTTGAGTTATGAACCTTTTGCTATTATTTGAGAACCAGCAGTAAACTCAGCTGAGGAGGTTCTTCATGTCACACGTGCAGGTTACACAGAGAAAGTCACTTCGTTGTACGCATGATACACGCCCACTTTCATACACTTTGTCACATTTCAGCACTCGGTTGGGTTCACACCATCACAATGCCTCTAAACGCTTTGTCACACCGGTAATGGGAAGCCTAGACATACACACCGTCACACAGGCACACACTCTGGTGGACTCCTACTGGCAGCCGTATCCTTAACACAGCGTCCCTCGGCAGCGCTTGTCATCTACACGTCAGTAAATCCAACCCCCTTCCTCCCACACACATACACTTTCAATTTTTTCTTTTCAAAAATCCCTCCATCTTTTTTCCTCACACCCTCCACACACACACACACACACACACCCTCCCCCCAATCGTCCACCGACCTGTGAGTCAGTAACGAGGAGCATTTCAACAAGAGTTTTCTCCCCTGACACAAGCTTGTCTCACTCTGCTATTGATCCTCACCCTCCCTCCATCACTGCATCCATCTCTTCGTCCTTCCTTTTCTCCTTCCCTCTTTCCCTCTGCCCCCACCCGACTCCCCCACCTCCTGACAGGAGAGCACAGAATAATTGGAGGAGCTTTCAACAGCGGGGAGGCAGTGGACAGCGAGGCAGGCGGGCGTCAGATGTGGCCAACGCCATAGTCTCTCTCTCTCTCTCTCTCTCTCTCTCTCTCTCTCTCTCCCCTCACACTCATGGATGAGTGATGCCCATGACAGACTGCATCCTCTGAGAGCCCCTTCTGGCAATTACTACACACAAACACGCACATACACACAGACACATACACATTCACATCAGAGACTCCCACATCACTTAACCAGTTGTCTTCAACTAAAAGGGCCGAGCGGAAACACTCTACAGCCTCTACTCATCAACCTCTCAACACACCACAACGTACACACACACATCACCCACCCACACACACACACACACACACGCGCACACACACTCTCAGAGCTTGTTGTTGATGACTATCTTTACCCTCTCTCTGTTTCTATTGATCCATGTGTTCATCAGTCCGCATGCATCCGCAAGATGTTTTTCTAAAGACTTTATCCAGCAGTTGTGCAAACACATACATGCACACTTTAGTTGTTTTCTAGTTTTACAACCACATAAGTTCAATCTGTTGTGTGGAATAATGACTGAGTGTTTTCTCCTGCTCATCCACAATTTTAGATCCACTTTTCTTGCAAAAAAAAAAGCCTGCATGAATTTGTGTGTGTGTGTGTTTTTGTTCTGGTCCAGTTTGCTGTTCACAAAGGTGAAGCTTGAAGAGGCCCTGTTCGGCCCTGCTGCAGCCCTGCAGACCTGTGAAGAGATGCTGCAGCGCTGGCAAACCCGCTATGATGTCAGCCGCTCCAGGTGAGCGTGTACATGCGGTATGCATTTGTGCTACTTTGCTTGTCATGTGCTGCAGGATGTGCAGTACCTCAGTGCTCCTGCGTTTTCAATACGTGCATAATGAAACTGGGAGGGGGGAGGCTTTTTCTGCTGCAGTATTGCAAAACCATCCAGTGTGTACGGGTGTTCTTGCATTAATGCATTTGATGTGTGGTTTGCATGGGATTTTAAAGCTTTTACCTGTGATCATGAGTGGGTTTGAGATGTTGACCTTTTCACATTTTAGATAGTGAAAGTGACATTTTGCATTCTTCGTTGTAATAACAGGAAACCTAAAAGCACTCTGAAGCTAAAATATCACAGTCAGATTATAGATAAAAACCTTGTGTGGAGTTTCGATTTTGTTTTGTTTGTTGTGTTTACTCTGTTTCGCTGCTCTTCTTGTGTGTTTTCTGTTACAACAATGACCTGTCTGAATAAGTCAGCTCATCACTGCCTCTGTCTGAGTCAAGAACACTGTCTGAGTGTTTGCTGAAGTACATGAGCTACAAGCTGCCCAGACACAAACTAGCTAGAAAACCTCTGTGACTCAAAAAATTCCTCGAAAGGCCACTTGAGGTTCATTACGAAACACAGACTGCATTTAAAAGATAAACTTAGCCTCTGTTTCTGCAAAGTCAGGTCAATGCGCTAAACCTGCATTCTTTCTAGCAGCTGGCAGGATGCAACTCCTCTGGTTGCAATAACAAGTCAGTTTACATCGAAGTCTATGAGAAAAGGGCTACGCTCACTTGATTTTTTTGTTACTTCAGTAAACATTTTCAATATGACGTTCATTTTGGATAGGGCTACCTTGTAACTGACAGGTTAATACAGTAAAAAAATAATGGTTTTAGTCTCTACAGCTAATTTCTTCTTTCATACCAACTATACGGGGTGGGAGTTTTTATATAATTAATCATTTTAATTGCATTAAAGCTCAAAGTTGTGCATAATTTAGGGCATGGACGCTTTGAGTGACAGCCAAGTGCCGTTGCAGAACAGTTCAAGGTCCAGAGATGTTTGCTAAACAGATGCACCACCGCTCTACCTCTTTGCTCATTTTTGATTAGCTGGGAGTTAGAAAGATTCAAGGTCGCTGAGCATCAATACCGCTCTTCAGAAAACCTGGAGGTGATGTCAGTCAGTGAGTTAGGACCATGGTAGAGGTAACATGTTGAGCAAAAAGCTAGCTGGATACATGAATTTACTTATTTCTACCATCTGTAAAGCAGTCCCAGCAACTTTACCAAAAACAAAACATGTACTCAGACATTAGTAAATGGTCTGTACTTACAGTATATACTAGGGATGGACCGATACCTCTTTTTGATTTCCGATACCGATACTTCAACTTTGAGTATCTGCCGATACCGATACCATCTCTCCTCCTAAACTTCTTTGGAAATACCTTTTTTGCATGGATACATTTGTTTAAGATGGCTTTATCAAAAGCCTCATGTTATTAAAGCATAGACTTTGCTTTTCTAAGAAAGGAAAAAACAGCCAAAAGCATGTCTCAAAGTGAAACTGTAGCTGCTTTACTTGAGCTGCAATCAGACTACAGTGTGCACTCAGTGCCATTCACATATTTAGAACAGATCAAAATGACACAGCAACATTAAGCTGCAATTTAAAGGTTAAATTACCAAAACTTGGTATTAAATAATAGTACCACTAATAGCCGCTCTCGGCTCTGCGCATGAGCAGTAGTAAATGAGACCGGAAACGTTGTGACTTGCTGCGGGATCGGATCCAATAGGAAGGTTCTGTCTGCAGAGCCGGAGACCCACGTACAGGCTGGACTCGTCTGCTACGGCCGGATAAGTGCACGGCTTCTAGTTCAGGTGCGCGACGTAGTTTTAAAGGGTGATTTCACTCAAAATATACTTCCAATTTTTAAAAAAATATATTTAAGAAGAGTATTTTTAACCCCTTACCGCTCCCACGGCCCGCCGGCGGGACGTGACCACTTTCCAAACACATTACAGCCATGTGCTCGCTCCACAATCACGTTTCCCGACAATATACACATCAAATGAAAGCTCAGTCTCCTCTTTCCGATGATATAAACCTTTTTGACCTGCAGCAGCCACAGCGTTGACACAAAGAGCTTTTTGTACAGAAAAGCAAAATGTTAAAATCAGAGTTTTCTTACTTGTGAAGGCTCTCTGCAGCTCAAACATCGCTCATTCCTCACCAGCTTGGTCTCATTCTGTCCGGACACAACCAGTCAACATAATCCCGTAAAATAATTCGGTCCGTAAAACGTATTAGATCCTCAAAGGCACAAATTCTGCAGTAATGTCGTCCCAGCTTGAGATCAGCTCCGGCTGTTTTATCCATTTCTTCTGGCAAAATCAGGCTGAATCTATTTCAGATCGCGCTGAAAGCGCTACAGTCAGCTGGACGGGCGGCTCAGCTTTTGATTGACACCTAGTTTGGCCAATAGGAGGGCTTTGGGGGTGAGTGACAGCCTGAAGGGCCAATAGAGTGTCTCAAACAGTCAACCGGTCCGCACAAGTCCCACCCTTGTAGATTCGACCAGTCGGGTTGCAGACACTCTCTGAGGCGGTACACTTGTAGCCAATGAGTAGACGAACACGTGGGTATGTCGGAAGGCAGGATTGTGTGTGTGTGGCGGTATCGGATCGGCCAGTTACCGCTGTGAAGGAAATCATCCGATACCGGAATTTCGTCTAGTATCGGCCCGATACCGATACCCAGTATCGGATCGGCGCATCTCTAGTATACACCACGTTTTAACCTTTGATAATTTTAGTGCTTTACAATACGTTTCTTTTTCATTTCCCATTCATACACAAATGATCTGCTGAATTGGTGCCATTAGTAGCTGTTGGGGTTTTGTATCTTGACCAAGGATGCTTCATGCTCTACTGCCAACCTAGCATTTAGTGGACAACCCATTCTTCCATCTGAGCCATAGCTTACATTACCACGGATTAATTAATTAACATTGACATGCCTACAGCCTAGCATTTAAGTTAATGCTAAGAATCAACTGTCCACAGAGTAAAAAAAAAAAAAAAACTCCCAGGTCAATTGACATTTGTAAGAATGGCACAGACTGTTTTTCTGAAAATAAATAAATAAAAATGAATCAAATCATGATTCTTTGGGACACACTGTTGAAAACATGTCGTTGTAGTATGCAGTGACACATGAAGGCAAAGGAACATCAGGGGACAGAGTAAAATACGTACAGTCACTGATGAAAAAAGTCAGTTTAGCCACAGTAGGTGGACAACCTGTCATCTGCCCACCTTTGCTTCTTTTGTCATCGTTAGTGAAGAGTCACAGAATTCAGCCCAACTGACCTGAACTGACAAGTCCAAGGTGGCACATACATGCACATTTTGGAATGCAGAAATGTATTTTTTAATACAATGCATGTGTATGGTTGGAAAAATCACCCATCCATTGACCTGTTATCTTTATTTATTATTGTCTAGTGGGGGGACCTATCAAAGCTGACTTAATGCAAAGGGCATACAAACAGAGAAAAACCACTGATATAGCATAAATAAAACTGGATTTATTCAATATTTTTTTAACACAGACAGTGGTGGAACCTCATAGCGCCAGAGCCTTTTGTTCTAACAAATGATAACGGCATCACTGAATGATGGGAAAACTAATTGTGTCGTTACAGCGAGACAGATGACAGCAGCAGTATACCGATGGCGGAGAGGGCAGAGGTCAGCCCTGGACCCAGGAAAGCCTCCATCCACCTCACCCTGCCTGATTTCCAGGACACCTCCACGGGTCTGCTATCTTGCTGCTTAAGATCTTTGCCACTGTACATATTTGTATTGCCACATGTTGAATTGATTACTTTAAGTCAAACATGTCCTCCTTTCTCTTGAGTAAATACCAGTGAGAAAGGTGAATTTGTAGGTCAATCGAAATCCCACAGCATTTGACCTATTCTGGATTAAAACCCTGTTTGCATGTCTGCAGCCCAGTTTGGGGGAGCAGATGTGCTGTTTAAATATCAGTGATGTGACTCACCTCTACACCTGTGGTTCTAGCAGGATCACTGATCTGCACACTTGATGTTTAGCCGCAGGAAATTTCTTGATGTTCTGGATATTAAAAGAGACTGAATGCTTTTTTTTTCTCTCAGCATGGCTCTGCTTTGTGTTATTTTTCAGGCAAATGATCTGTGTCATCATCAGTCTTGTCATATTTGAAGGACTGTGAATGGAATTTGAATGTTTTTGCTACAGAAAAAAAAATATTGTTTCCAAGTGTTTATCATTCAGTGTCTGTAACATATTAAAGGATTCTTTGTGTTATTTTTTTTTCACTGTCCAATGACGAGGTTCTGATCTGTGCTCTAACGCTTGGTATTTGTTGCCCCGTCTTATGTCAGGTTCACTGAGTCCCACATCGGTCGCAGTGTCTCGTCTGGAAGCGGCGCTGTCTGAGGTGTCAGACATGAGCTCCATTCGTCGCCAAGGTCCCACCTACATCTGGGCCACCCTGGAACGCATTTGGCTGCAGGCTGGTATGAAAACAGCACACATGAATAAAAATGTGGGCATGTAAATGTCTTTCATGGCATATTTGTGGGACGTGTAGGTGGGCTCCAACTTTTTCATTAGCTTTCTGAAGATTTTGCTTTTGGCTATGTTAGGGGGTCTTCTATCCAAAACTATGAACTCTCTTATGGCATCTGCTGTTTTTGGAACTGGAGGATCTGTTGTGTAGTTTTGGCTGTGGATGAGGATATTGATGCCTGACGATGCACCTGTGTACAAGGTATTATTAGACTTGGCTTAATGCCAATAACAGCCTTAGCCCCAGTCTCCTTATGTGTCATTTTAAATGCTCTGTGCTCCAAAGTAAGCTACTGTTTAACCAGCAGATAAAGCAGCGTCATCATAGGACTGGGGCTGCAGGGTGGCGCAGTTGGTAGCATTGTTGCCTCGCAGCAAGAAGGTCGCCGGTTCGGTGGGGGCACCGGAATCTTTCTGCATGGAGTTTGCATGTTCTCCCCGTGCAGCGTGGGTTCTCTCCGGGTTCTCCGGCTTCCTCCCACAGTCCAAAAACATGTTGAGGTTAATTGGTGATTCTAAATTGTCCGTAGGTGTGAATGTGAGTGTGCTTGGTTGTCTGTCTCTAAGTGTAGCCCTGTGATAGACTGGTGACCTGTCCAGGGTGTCCCCTGCCTTCGCCCTAAGTCAGCTGGGATAGACTCCAGCCCCCCACGACCCGAGTGAGGATTAAGCGGTGTATAGATAAAGGATGGATGGATCATAGGACTGAACAACAGACATTAGCTAAGTTAAGTTCGGCAGGTAGTATAAGCTCGGTTTTTTTACTTTTTACTATCAGACGATAGTCTGCTTACAGCATTCAGGTGAGTCGTCACGCTTGTTGTGCTGCCCCGGTAGGCCATTTTCAAATTGCATATTTGACACACTGCCTGTCTTTTGTCATTGCTCAATTTAAATTTGGTCCCACACAGCTGAGGTCTTCTGTATTTTGTCTTCCCTTTAACTGCCAGCGTGAACTGAAGTGTGACGTTCACTGCTGTGAGTGAGCGGGATGTCAGGCGCCCAGGCTGAGAGGCATATATCTACACATTTTAAGAGCGCAGTTAAAAGGTATCAATATAAACAAAAACATCCAAAAGTTAACAACTGAATACCTACGTGAAAAAAAAAGTTGAATATTGGGATCCAGGTAGGAAAGAGATTTCAGACAATAAAAGCTGTTAATTACTTCAGTTTTTATTTTGAAAACTAAAACATTAAGTATCTGACAGCACAGTGGTGCTTTCAGGTAAATGCTAATGGCAGCATCCTAACACACATGACAAAGCCAGCATGATTTTAACAGATTTAATGTTTGCTTTGTTGAAAAGCTTAGTTTGCCAGCATAGTAGGACTTTTTAATTAGCACTGAGCACAGTTACCCTCTGATGCCATTGGTATTATTTGTTTTGATGTATACATATATATCAGTAGAAGCTAAAAACAATGCTAACTGAATGGTTACATCCACTGTTTAGGTCTAGATCCTATTCACTTTCACTGTTGTTTTTTATATTTTATATTTATATTTGCATCTTCTATTTTTTTTTCTTTTTTAAAAACATATTATTGTTGCACCAACCCACCAGAACAAATTCCTCGTATTGCGTAAACTGTACCTAGCAAAAAACCTGTTTCCGATTCTGATGTGAAGGCAAGTCACTCTGTTCAAGCTGGTCTTTTATTACTTGCACTTTGTCTCATCTATCCAGTGGTTGTGTATTGCACTCTGCCTTAAGAATCCGCATTTAAACCGCACATACTTATGGTTAAGCATACGGGTCAAATGTATCTCAACAATTATGGTCTCAGTAGGGATGGAAACTTTCCCCTCCATGTTAGGACTGACCTTACCAAAGAAATCCAGAACAAACCTGTATAAATAGAAGTTCTGATGGCACCTTTTGATGAAAGTGCGCTGTGCAGATGTTACTATGAAAGCTGTGCAGCCTCACTGTCTTCCACAGCTTGCTGACCTGCTTATAAGCTCAGTTGAATTTCAATCTCTCTGGGGAGTGAGACATTGTTTATGCACTTGGTACAATGTGAGCACACATTTTTTTTTTCACATTTTGAGCACTGCAGTCACAGAAACTCACTTAGAATATTCATTTGGTTATATATGAAAGGCTGGAGAATCTACTGCCATAAGATATATATACAGTGTATAGGCAATAAAACTGTCTTTTGGGGGAAACTGTTTATTTGTAAGCTTGTTAATGTTTAAATATATAATGTAATGTGAGCACTGGGATTGCTGCCGCAATTTCCTGTGACCCCTGACTTTTCAAAACAGGAGTGAACTAGAAAAATTCAAACTATTTAGAGATTTGAGTTGCTTCAGTTTCACTGAATACTACAAACCTACTGTAGAGGCGAGTGCAGTATACCTGCATACATGTGGCCACTGCTCTGTGAAGGACAGAATGTGAGTGATGCACACCGCTATGACCTACAACCCTTTAGCCTTCAAGCTGCCTGTGAAGATTCACAGGAGAGCCCGGCTTCAGCAGGAAATGAAGGGAGAGGAATATAGAGACGCTCCGCACAAACAACACTCCATCCATCCACTCAGCTGGAGTGGATGAGGCATGAGAATGAGGATGGGAATCCATACAGTGAAGGCAGTGATGCAACCAGCATACCAGTGTGTTACAGTGTAAGAGGGGCCGGGTGGAAGGGCCACGGGGTCGCGTCCCCTGTGGCCCAGCGTAATTTGAAGGTTATTTTCTACGACTGACCTCTGACCTCGGCTATGTCTCTGCTGAGAACAGACAAAATAGAACATGCTCGTCAAGCTATATGTGTGTGACCGAGGGTGTGTCCCCTAACTCAATCCGACCACCCGCCCCCCTCCTTCCCAGCATTCCTCTTCTCATCGGTCACTTCCTTTCTCAATCTCACATCCTCGTTGGACGCTCAGGAAAAAATACGCACACACGCAATTCTCTTTAAAAGGGATACACTTAGCAGAGTATGACACATATACGTACCTGCAAACCTAAAAATAGCCTCTATACATGCAAGCACTGATCTAATAGGATTTTTTTTCTGGGAGCTCAGGTGAGGAGCAGGAAATAGCCTTACATAACCATTCACTGAATCCTTTTCCCCCCAAATGAAGCTATGAAAAGGAACCCTGAGGCTGGGAAAAGGCTTTTTTTTTTCATCTCACAGAGGTAGCATGCATGCACTAAGTATTTCCCATCTGTGCATCTATGCGACACAGGTAAACAAAACATCCGCTACCAAACACACACATGGGTTCTTTGCGCTCAGGAGCAGACGGCGCTTTCAGTATATTTGCACATCGCTGTTCACTCCATGTCTGTCTGTAACACACACACACACACACACACACACACACACAGCGCTGTCAGTGTTTCAGGCTGAAAGGTTTCTTTCTCTGGGTTTTTTTCTGGGTGTTGACCCAATGTCCACTCAGGAGAAAGACTGACAGCTCCGTGCTCCTGCGTCCCCGTTCAGACATTGGTCTGCTGCAGCCTTAGGGGGCAGGTCTTCTGGTCAGCTTCGTGTTCGAGGTCTTATTGGTGAATAAAGTGCTTGTGGGCGTGATTCTGAGTGTGTGTGTGTGTTTGTGTCTGGGGTTTGTCCTCATATTCCCAGCAGCGAAGAAAGGAGGCCGGCAGCTTTAGTATGTGATGGCCATATTTAGGCAAGAGTTTCATGACTTCCCAGGCACTACTTTGGTCACACACTTTCTTTCACGCTGTCCTTGTGTTTGTGTGTGTGTGCGTCCATCCAAGTGCAGTATTCGAGCGTTGCACAGTTTACATTTTACTATGATGCTATTGAACTCAAAGTCAGTCTGTCACTGTCACATGTTACTCAGATGATTAATACTACTGTTTTTCTCCTTTCTTTCTCTGGTTATGCAAACTTTTCTTCGTCCCTCCCTTTCTTTCTCTTGTTTTCGTCACCTAATCCTTCTGCTGTCCTCTCTCTGTCCTTTTTCACCTCATTCTTTATCTCCGTCCTCCCTCCCTTTCTCTGTCCTGTGCTTCTCTTTTATCTTCTTTCTCTTTTCTACCTTTTACTCCTCTCTAATTCCCTGGTTCCTGTCCTCTGCTTCCTCTACTTCCTCCTGCCACTCTCTCTATCTTCTCTTACAGGGGAGTTGTTCATGGCGGACAACCGGCTAAAGGAGGCCCAGTTCTGCATAGCCGAGGCCAGCTCACTCTTCCCCAACTCTCACTCTGTGCTGCTGCAGAGGGGCCGCCTGGCCGAGCTCCGGGGTCAACTGGACGAAGCCAAAGGCCTGTATGATGAGGCCCTGGCCCTGCATCCCACAGGAGAGCGCATACTGGTGCACATGGTAAGAGACAGTGAAAGCTTTAGAGGCTGCAAAATTAAATTAGAACTTATATAACACTGCTCTGTGAAGTGTCACACAGTGGTCAGTATGCACATACAGCCACACACACACACACACACACACAACATGCATGGATACACTAACACATTTTAAGTGCTTCACTTGAGTCTATTAAATTAAAAGTGACGTAATGGGCAGACTGAACATGTGCATACACCCATGTATGCATTCTAGCATACAAGTGAACACGCACACTTTCATGTACACGAGCCCAGCGCTTTACTTGAGTTCACTAAATTACATTAAGTTATGTTATGCAAGACCTTCAGGATTTTGTTTCTCAATCATATATTAACTCACACATGCTGACTCACAAACTGTAGGACTGTTTACAAATTCAAATGTTTTTAAAGTTTAAAATTTGCTAAATTAATTACACGAAATTGAATTCTGTCAGCTGTCTTTAACGTTCACACAGAACCCACACAAAGATCCCACAGTCTCCCCCACACTGCTGTGTAATAACACCAATACATGTGGAAGTAAACATGTAAAAATACATTTAAATTGATTTTTTTTTTTACATTACACTACACACACACACAGGAGTTATGTTTAGGTAGGGATCCAAACTGAACTTCACATCATATACAGCACTTGGAGTCTCAAGAGCAGCACACATGAGAAACAAAAAGACATGCACACACGCTAAACGTGAGCTAAATAAACAGTGGTAATATCCCCTGGCATAATATATATATTGGATTACTAACTTTTCTAAACATGTTTGTGTAACTTATTCATTTAAAACTGTGGTAAAAATATGATCTGAATATTATTCAGTGTTGCATTTTCCTGATGATGTCTATGAAGAGCGATGACTAGTGAAAATACCAGAATACACAAACCCAGTCATACTCTGAGTAACACAAACAAAACAGGTCCATGAATAAATCATAAAGATAACAATGTCTTTGCTTTGGAAGGATTCCACAATCGATATCAGATGGAATATCTGTAATTCTTTACCACGGCTTTAATGTATCCTGGCATGCTTAATCAATAGCTAATCAATACCTCATTAGACTGAATCAGGTGTACTGCTGGTGGAGCTGAACAAATTCTCTTGTTTTGTTTTTTTGTGGTTGTGCAAAGGGTTGGTCACATGTACTGAAGTATAACACACGGTTAGAAAACAGCATTAGTGTGAGTTTTTGTTGTTCAGGTTAACACAGAGTATGAGACTATAGGGGACTATTAGCTGCTAATATAAGGGTCACATTTGCAGTAGTGTCTGTTTCCAGTTTACCCCCATGGAGCTGATCTAATCTCTCCTTTTTCCAATGGCTGTTATTATGTTAGTTTCAAATCTCTGCTATACTGTATTGTCGGTGTGTAGTTCCACGTAGAGTTTTTGAGAAGAAACATAAACATTAGCTGATACAATTTGCTTTTTTTCATTTATAATTCACCAGAAATATTTAGGTTTAAGCTTATTTGCTCTTAGCTGCTAATATTAGCATTACTTTACGGCCGTTGCTTTACTGTTTTGGAACAGATCGAATCTTGTCTTTTTTTAAATGGCTGTAAATTATTTTAGCCTTAAAACTCTGTTATACTGCATTAGGTGTAGTTCCTTTCTGACTTTCTAATAAGGAACATGAATGTAAACAAATAAAACTATAATTTGTCTTTTGCAATTTGGCAGAAACTTCCAGGCTAGTTTGCTATTCGCGGCTAATATTAGCATAGCATTTGTTGCAATGCCTGTTTCTACTCTTTTGGACCTGAACCAGACTTTTTTTTTTAAATGGCTGTGGATTATGTTAGCCTCAAAAATGATGTTATATTGTATTAAGTCTAGTCCCTTATGACCTTCTGAGAGTAAACATAAGTATTAACTGATAAAATTAAAAATTTTTTAATTCAGCATAACTTTTTATGCAAGCTTGCTATTAGCTGCTAATAGTAGCTATTGGTACAATCCAGCAGTACCAGTTGCTTGTTTATTCTTTTGCAACTGAACTAATCTTCTCTTTTTCTAAAAGCCTGTAAAATGTAGACCTATTGGAAGAAACATAAACATGAATATAAATGTTTCTTTTGTAGTTCATCACATATTTCCAGGCTATCTCGCTATTTGCCGTTAATATTAGGTTGCATGCAGGCAGCAGCAATGGCAGTTGCTCACAAACCTTTGTTTTTTTTCCCCTGTGTTCAGTGCTGTACTGTGTCAGTGTCAGGACTGTGATCATTAGAGTCTTAATCATCACATTATAGCTCTGTCATATTGTGAGATGTCGTATTTGTGGGCAAACTTCAGGATTTTTTTTTTTTTTTTTTTTTAAAATAGATACAAACAAATTCTTGGTCTATAACCAACAAATGAAAAATAGAGCTCAAAGACTCGCTTTCTCTCTCCTGATCACTCCCCCACATTTCTTTCATCCCAGCAGATCCTCTCTCTCTCACTGCTGCATTATAAAGATCCTCTCTCGCCCACTTCCACCCACACAGTCACTCAGTCTCTCTCCCAGTCTGTCTTCCAGATGATCCACTGGATTAACCACAGCTACTCTGACCTTTGAACTCTCTCCGTTGTCATGGTGAAGGGACCAGAAAGGGATATTCCTCAAATCCAAGATTCGCACCACTCGGCACGCGCTCACAGACACACAGTGACTGTGGTCTCCATAGTGACCATAGATGTGCTGGTTGATACCTCTTTGACTTAAGTACAAGTCATCTTGTGACCACATAAGGATGCTCTTGTTCCTACTGTGCACTTTTGGGTGGGTGTGTGTATGTGTGTGTGTGTGTGTCTGTGTGCGAAGTGCAGTCCCACAGGGCTAGACAGAGGTACGCATCTCTTCCATATTTGGCCTGTGGGAGAACCAATCCCAGGGGGTGAAAAGCTGAAACAAAGCCAGCTGGCAGTGTCCTACTCTGGGTCTCTTACAGGACAGATGTGTTCTCAGTCAGAGTGTGTGAGTGTGTGTGCATATGTGCATGTATTAAGGCATGACTGTGTTTGTGTGTGCCAGCCTTCCTCCATGGATTTGGTGCACATGTGGACTATTTGTGCTTTTTTTTTTTTTGAGTGAACTATATGTAGGCAGTTGGGTTAGGGCACATGTTTTAGTAGGCACTAATTGACCCAAATACAAAAAAAAAACCTGTCATATAGAGCACTATATGTTGTGAATTATATATTAGACATGCTAATGGAGGAGTGTGGTAAATAGCTGCATTCTTGCATTGTGATGAAGCCTAAGTGGGACAGTGTGTGGGACATTTCATTTGGAACACTGCCCATATTTGTGGCTTGCATCAGCCTGCCAGAATACAACCTACAGTTGCTGCTTCTCTGTGGCTCTGGCTTCATGCATTTATTTTTATACTGTATCTGCTGTGGACACTTTGTGTGCCAGTGGCCCATTTATTCTGCTCTGCCTAAAGGGGAATTCTGATGATATTCTTGGTTGATATTCTTACACTTGAGCTATTATTCTACAAAAGTACATACTGTACTTTCCTTGAACGTCCGTATGATGCTTTGCAGCTTTTTTGAGTTATTATGGCTAAAGATGGAAGAAGATCCACTCCTGCTGTGGCGTCACAATGTAACTCCACAGATTTTCATTGTGCAAGATTTTTTTATGGCCATGCAGTAACATTATGTGACAATATCTCGTCTTAGTGTGAGGTCTCTGGCCTATTTGCAGCACAAATATAGACAATAAATACAGGCAGAGAGAAATGTCTGCAGAAGCAAAAAGAGTGGTAGCAGTTATATTGTATGCATTTTAACCATTTGATTGCAGTGCAGACTTTACAATATTTTAAACATTTCATGCTTATTTTTTTACATATTAGTTTTACTTCAGTCAATTACACCAGTTACAACCAGACCTGGAAGGCAATGAAATTAGCTTAGCATAGCATTAAGTATGGAACCAGGGAGAAACAGCTTGTTAAATCATTAAAATGAACAACCAAGGTTCTTGTGAATTTGAAACCATTTTCACAAGCAGCGATAGTACATAAGGACTTTTTGAGGCTGAAGACAGCATTGTACAGCTTGTCTCAGGCCAACCGGAGCGGAGTGAAGTCATAATTCTCTCCACAATAGCCACAGCATATGAGGAAAGGGAAATGTGAGTAAGGGAAACCCATAACTGGAAGCTATACAGAAGCTCAGCAGCCCCTGTGGTGTGGTACGTAATAACACACCGCCACCATCTTTCCCTTATTCGCCGCACACTGCTTTACTCGCTCCACCTCTACATATTAGCATCAAGCGTGTCCACATGGTTTTTGAGCATGTGTGTGTAAGAGAGGGAGAAATGCAGTGATCAGTGACTCACAGCTCTGGTCAGCTGCTGGTTTCAGAGTATTTTTGGATGGATGAGGGTGTGGTGGTGGTGAGGGAAACCAGTATAGGACTATGGTATGCTGTGAGTCTACGTGCATGATAAATGTTTGCTAAAGATTTGTAGTTAATTTCCTGGTTGTCACATTGTATGCTCTTAATCTAAGCATATGTGTTTTTTTTTTATTATAATTGCGGATTCCAGCTATTAGGTATTTGTCTATCTGTGTGGTTAGCCTCATTATGCTAAGCGTTTGGTTGACGTGTGTGTATGGCATGTGGTAGGCGTGTGTGTGTGTGTGTGTGTGTGTGTGTTCTGATGGATGGCTGATCCAGAAACATGGCCCAGCCTTGCTTCCAGCGATGGTATGCAATGAATCTGACCCACTCCCAACATCCTCCACATCTCATCCCTCCTGTTCTGTAGTGGAGCCTGCTCTGAGTCAGCTGCACGCACACACACACACACACACACACACACACACACACGCACGCACACGCACATGCACACACACGCACATGCACATGCACACACACACTTTTCTTTTACTCCTCTCCAACAGAGGCATATTCATACACAGCTTCACATATGCATGCATACTCTCAAGGACGAGGACTTGTGCTCATT